ACCTTCCAAGGAAGGATGAACGTCTCCACGAGGAAAGTCATCCCCATGGAAACCCCGGAGAAAGACAAGGAAGAACTGCTCAAAACGGAGGAGTACAAAGGTATTGGAAAAGGAATGGCGGGTTCGAATCCTCACTGTTCGGGATAACCTAGGCAGGGTTCCAGCCACTCTGGAAAATCAGGGAACACTTTGAAAATGAGATTCCACTTTTCCAGTCAGGGAAAAACTCAGGGAATTTGACACTGGCAGGTTCGAATCCTCTGTTGAAAGGGGTGGCTGGTTCGAATCCTCACTATCTGGGATAACATACGCAGGGTTCCAGCCACCCTGGAAAATCAGGGAAAACTTTGAAAATGAGCTTCCACTTTTCCAGTCAGGGAAACACTCAGGGAATTTGACACTGGCAGGTTCGAATCCTCTGTTGAAAGGGGTGGTGGGTTCGAATCCTCACTATCTTGGATAACATACGCAGGGTTCCAGCCACTCTGGAAAATCAGGGAAAACTTTGAAAATGAGATTCCACTTTTCCATTCAGGGAAAAACTCAGGGAATTTGACACTGGCAGGTTCGAATCCTCTGTTGAAAGGGGTTGTGGGTTCGAATCCTCACTATCTGGGATAACATATGCAGGGTTCCAGCCACTCTGGAAAATCAGGGAAAACTTTGAAAATGAGATTCCACTTTTCCAGTCAGGGAAAAACTCAGGGAATTTGACACTGGCAGGTTCGAATCCTCTGTTGAAAGGGGTGGTGGGTTCGAATCCTCACTATCTGGGATAACATATGCAGGGTTCCAGCCACTCTGGAAAATCAGGGAAAACTTTGAAAATGAGATTCCACTTTTCCAGTCAGGGAAAAACTCAGGGAATTTGACACTGGCAGGTTCGAATCCTCTGTTGAAAGGGGTGGCGGGTTCGAATCCTCACTATCTGGGATAACATACGCAGGGTTCCAGCCACCCTGGAAAATCAGGGAAAACTTTGAAAATGAGCTTCCACTTTTCCAGTCAGGGAAACACTCAGGGAATTTGACACTGGCAGGTTCGAATCCTCTGTTGAAAGGGGTGGTGGGTTCGAATCCTCACTATCTAAGATAACCTACGCAGGGTTCCAGTCACTCTGGAAAATCAGGCAAAACTTTGAAAATGAGAATCCACTTTTCCAGTCAGGGAAACACTCAGGGAATTTGACACTGGCAGGTTCGAATCCTTTGTTGAAAGGGGTGGTGGGCTCGAATCCTCACTATCTGGGATAACCTACGCAGGGTTCCAGCCACTGTGAAATTCAGGGAAAACTTTGAAAATGAGATTCCACTTTTCCAGTCGGGGAAAAACTCAGGGAATTTGACAGTGGCGGGTTCGAATCCTCTGTTGAAAGGGGTGGTGGGTTCGAATCCTCACTATCTGGGATAACATACGCAGGGTTCCAGCCACTCTGGAAAATCAGGGAAAACTTTGAAAATGAGATTCCACTTTTCCAGTCAGGGAAACACTCAGGGAATTTGACACTGGCAGGTTCGAATCCTCTGTTGAAAGGGGTGGTGGGTTCGAATCCTCACTATCTAAGATAACCTACGCAGGGTTCCAGTCACCCTGGAAAATCAGGGAAAACTTTGAAAATGAGATTCCACTTTTCCAGTCAGGGAAAAACTCAGGGAATTTGACACTGGCAGGTTCGAATCCTCTGTTGAAAGGGGTGGCGGGTTCGAATCCTCGTGATTGGTCGTGAGGTGCAACCGCCAACTTTCTCTTATTAATATAACCCTTTGTTTTTTGGCAGAGACTGTTTCGGAGACCCCCTTCCTGTACTTGACGTTGGACATACCCCAGGCCCCGCTTTTCAAGGACGAGTTTGAACAGAACATCATCCCTCAGATCCCGCTGTCTTCCCTCCTGGCCAAGTTTGACGGTACGACAGAGAAAGTAAGACTCAAAAATCTACTGCAAATAATCATTCTTCATTTAAAAAACCTTTCCCAGAAGTATTAGTCCAGTGTTGTAGTCAAGTAGTTTTCCATGAGTATCAGTACAAGTACAAGTAGTTTGCAGGTTTTCCCATGAGTGCGAGTGTGACTACATTTCCACAAGTCCATACTCAAACTTTCCACAAGTATGAGTACTAGCACATGTCAAGGAGTGTAATTTTTTACAACGCAGAAGCGTCCCAAACAGTAGAAAATTGGTTCTTTTCTTAGTCTTAGAACATTTTCCTATATTGTATATTGCTAAACAGGAGTACAAGACATACAAAGATTCAACCATCAAGCGATTCCATCTAACCAGGCTGCCTCCATATCTCATACTCTGCATGAAACGCTTCAACAAAAACCTCTTCTTCACTGAGAAGAACAGAACGATTGTCAACTTCCCTGTCAAGTGAGTAAAACATTTCATTGTTTTCCTGTTTTTTGAAGCCTCAATATGTGGCCGATACTTGGCAGCCGATGTGCATGTCTCCAAAAGTTCAAAGGCCAGTAGTTGTAACTAGTAGTTGTAACTAGTAGTTGTAACTAGTAGTTGTAACTGGTAGTTGTAACTGGTAGTTGTAACTGGTAGTTGTAACTAGTAGTTGTAACTAGTAGTTGTAACTAGTAGTTGTAACTAGTAGTTGTAACTAGTAGTTGTAACTAGTAGTTGTAACTAGTAGTTGTAACTAGTAGTTGTAACTAGTAGTTGTAGCTAGTAGTTGTAGCTAGTAGTTGTAGGTAGTAGTTGTAACTAGTAGTTGTAACTAGTAGTTGTAACTAGTAGTTGTAACTTGTAGTTGTAACTAGTAGTTGTAACTTGTAGTTGTAACTAGTAGTTGTAACTAGTAGTTGTAACTAGTAGTTGTAACTAGATGGCACCGACACTCGCCTCCTCATGAGAGCGCAAAACTATTTCCTGGAAGGAACATAAGACAAAGGCAAAGGAAATATACGGCAGCATCCCACCTATCTCAACTACAGTAGCACAACGCAGAGCTTGCCTTGCCGGCTGTTGCTATCCAGTTCGTTAGTGTGACGTCATCTCAATTCAACCATGCGTACTTCACACGGTGTAGCATAGCACGAGTGGAACCGGAAGTTAACGCACCTCGAGCGTTTATCCAATGGGCGCTAGGAATCGGTGGTGCGCGCGCGTGTATGACGTTTTTACTAACGAACCGGATAGAGCCAAAGAGCAAGTTGTCTCTGACCTCATCTGCAGGAGATTGCCTTGCCCCAACAGAGGGAGGAGACCCCTCAACTGCGTCGACACTGTATGCAGTGATGTGAGCCAGCACGTTGATGACATCACCACGGCCGTGGCGGACAAGAGAGTCTGGAAGAGTTTGGTTGCATCCATCTCGGCTGCGGCCGCCCAGTGATGATGATGTAACTTGATGCCAACGTGGCCAATAAACTTACAATCAATATAAACAAAACAATTTTCACAATGCTATTCACCAACGATTTTCCCTCAGGAACATGGATTTCACGGAGTATCTCTTGGACGATGCCGAGGTCCGTCAGAGAAATCCGTACACCAGCTACGACCTGATCGCCAACATCGTACATGAAGGGGAGCCGGGCTCGGGAAAGGGCATCTACAAGGTCCATGTACTACACAAAGTAAGCCCTAAAAGCGAAATGGCCAAAATTCCAGCTAATTTTGCACTTCTCACATTTCTGAAGCCCAGATTTGTTAGGCTCAGCACAGAAATTTAAAAATTGTAGAATTAGACACTTAATCATCCCCATTAATCTCACTGATGGCCCATTTACCTTAAATTAAAGGCGCGTACAAACATTGGTAATTTATACCCAGATACGAACCCAACAATTTTATGAGAAAATCCTTGCTCAAAGTGAAGATAGGACTTGTACCAAACACCTTGCGAAATTGTTCCGCCTGAATTGGTATAATATTGAAGGAAGCAATAATTAAAGGTGCTTTGTACAAGTGTGCCTGATGGCACACTTTTTTATAATTTAACAGTGTTTGTTAAATACTGCGAAGATTACCCATCTACTTGGACCTCGACCTCCATACGCTGTGTGAATGAGAATCAGTACCAATGTTTTATTAATAAATCAAAATGTGAAAATGGCAAATTGCGAATTGGAAGCTCTAACAACTGAATCCACTTGTACAAGACCAAAACAAACTTATTGGGCACAAGTCAATAGTATGTACTGCAAATAAGCTGAACGTTCGTCAGGGCAGTTGTTATGCACCATTACTAAGATTTTGGGCACTCGTATAGTTTTATGTATTCATTAGTGAATAGACACAATGTAATACAATGTATTACCAATGTAATACAATGTATTACAGGTGCTAATGAGTTAATTTTGGATGTTGTTTTATTGTCTTTCAGAGTACAGGCAAGTGGCATGAGATTCAGGACTTGCACGTAGCTGACATCCTACCACAGATGATCACGCTGTCAGAAGCATACATACAGGTAAATCACATGTGGAACAGTGGTAGGATACATTAAAATCCATGTCCATACTTGGTTCTTTGTGACTGACTTGTTTTTGCCATGTTTGCCACTTTTTTGCCATGTTTATCCAGTTTGCCACGTCTTGGCCATTTTTTTTTTGCCAGATTTGCCACGTGTTGCCATTTTTTTTGCCAGATTTGCCATTTTTTTTGCCCATATTGGCTTTTTTGGGGCCAGTTTTGCCAGAGGGTGAAGTCAGGGACGAAACATTGGACAATCACCAACCATTTTACAAATTTGTTTGAATAAAAAATGGATGTATTCCGTACGATATTGTTTCGTTCATATCTTAATCACAACCCATTAAGAAATGCGCATACTTTTCTTTTCTTGGTGATACAAAAAAAGTAATTGGTAAATGCCAAGTTGGATGATCACAGACTGTAATATGCATGCATCACACTGAATGTAGTTAAACTTCTTGAATTTTTGTCTTTGTTGTTGTAATTTTTCAGATTTGGGAGAGGAAAGATACGAAGAACGAGGAGCCCGTAGAAGAAAACAAACCTGAACAGAGGGCACCAGAGACATAACACAGCCAGACTTTTGTCCCTTTTTAAACAACAAATAATGTCATAGAGCTTTTGTATTGTTATACCAGGTGATCTTTTCAGTCACGTTTATTCACAGTTTCTGTCCACCCAAGTTAGTATTATCTAATATGGATACATTGTAAACTAGATTTACTTATGTTTGTGGACAAACACTTGGCTTTTTCGGCATTTCGTTAATGCATGTTCAAGTCGAATTATAAACCGATAGTTGTATGTATTACACATCCTAACGAAGGTACATACCAAGTTACAACACAATCGGGACATAGTTTTGTTGATATAGGCCTTCGAAAAATTAATGACGTAATATGTCATGTAATGACGTCATCGTGATGTCACTTCAAACTTCAAAAAGAAGAACTTCAAAAAGAAGAAGAAAACAAAGGGAAAAACAAATCTTAGCAAAAACAAAGGCTGTTTTGGCATGTTTGACAAAATGGCCAATTACTCACAGTTTTTATGTTTGCAGCAACAAAATTGCTCAAGATTTTAAGTTGCATAACACCTAAAGTGTTAAAGTTTCAGCTCAGTGGACATTTTGACAAAACGGAGAAAATGTACGCAGTGTCAAAAAATGTTTATTAAAGTGTGCCCACATGCACACTTTTTTAAAAACGCCTTGAATAATAGTTTTGCTTCCAAACAATAACTTTTCAGGCAGAATAATTTCACAGGGTATTTCATAACAGTCCCATCTTCACTTTGAGACTTTTCCGGTAATTGCAATGTTTCTGCGTAGCTTTAAAATGACACAAAATGACACATTTGTTGTCCATGATAACTCGTCCTTTATTAGCAAACAAAATAGTAAACAATTTTGTTACAAAACGTCCAAATAAAAGAGATTGAAAACATATGAATTTCACATTTCAAAAAAACCTGTGTGATTCTTCAATTTTCTTTCTGTTTGCAGTTGGCTGAAATCTTGTTTTACTGTTGCAAGCACTTTTCTTCATTAAATCTAATGTAACTCAATCTAATGTAACTCTTAATCTAATCTTTTAATATACCACAATAAAATACGACAAACAACTAACTAAAAGGTAATGGGCACCATTTGCTAAACAAAAATACATATTTTTGCCACTTCGAGGAACATTACAAAAAATCTGAAGCAGGTTATTAAGAAGTAAACAATCAAAATTTCAGCTCGGTGGAAAATTGTGAAAAAAGTGTAAAAACACTTTGTTTTTTTCTTGATTCAAAGCAGGGTTTCCGTTGAAAGCTCTTTCTTCCAAAATGTTCATTAATACATTTTTACTTGCGCCCTCATGCGGTATGATACCAATTTGTCACCCAGGAAAATAATTCTCATTCACGAATTCGATCAGTTTATTTTCCCCCTGCGATGGTTTGGTCATGACCATTGACCAGTTCGCGCCTGAGGCCATGTTCACACGCCAAAGTTTTGTGGTATTTGAAACGGATGACAAATGAAACACGCAGGGAGCGAGGCCAGAAATATCTGTCAGTGATCCGCTCACAGCGAGCGAGGCCGGAAATATGAGGGTGCTGCCCGAGGGTGATGGCTTCAACCCGCCTGGCTTGGGGTGAAGTGAAAAATAATCCCACGCCTGGTTCCGTTCTTGTCGCAATAATCCCAGCATGAACTGGTTAAGAGAAAATGACGATAATTCCTGTATCTTGAAAATGACAGCATTCCAGGCGCAGCGATTTGACAGGATGCTTGATCCTATTATTTACTTACAATCAAGTAGGATATTTCATGATATTTTAAATTTTGTGGACATTGCTTTTAATCAAAGAATCGCAGAATGGAAAAGTTATTTATGCAGTAAATAAGCACACTTCAATCTCATATCTATTTTTCTTTCATAAAAAATTGTTAAGTAGTAGTACATGTACATAGCCACTTTGGGTTTACATACATGTACAAAAAATTTAAAGTACTTCTACGCTGAACTTCAAAAGTCAGTCCTCTGGTTTGTGCAATGCTAGATCTACCATTTGGAATTACCCTACATGTTTACAACTACAAATTTAGGCACATTAATGATCACATCAACACTCAAACGAACATCAAAGAAAGTAGATTTAAGGTTAAGATTTTTGTGTATTACAGTTACTTGTCCATATAATTGGAAACAAAAACGTTGTCGAAGTCTGCTCAGAATCTGTCTACAAGCAATCAAGCTGAAAAATAAAAAAACAAAATATTTTTAACAATCGGACAGAAATAAAATAATGCGCAGTTGACGTCGACCCAAATATACTTCAGGTGATAGGACTTCGCCGAATAATGTATTAATTGAAAATGATCCTTGCATGTGTGGTCTAATGGTAGTGCATATGATTCATGATCGTGAGGTTGTGGGTTCGAGCCCTGCCGTGGCCATGCGTGTTGTGCCCTTGAGTAAGGCGCTTTACCTCAATTACTCCTCTCAACCCAGGTGTTAAATGGGTACCAGCATTATTCAATGCTGGCAAGGTAACAGACTCGCTGTGGAGGAGGTGTGGCGATCCCCCCACAGCAGCAAATGAGTCTGGCCCAATCGCTTCGAAAGAGAGATGGGCACTCCGTTCCTGTGAACACAGGTTCGTCCCCTTAACCTTTTTTTGTAACTACAGTGTGTTCCCTTAAAAGGAAAGGAAACTGTACTCACGCATGGCTCTTGACGGTAGGTAGCAACATTTGCCCTTGGTGTGATTGGGCGGAATGTGACAGAACGCGTCGCTAGGGCAACCGTTGTACTGCTTGGAGCAAACTATGCTGGCAACAATGTTACTTGCATCACCGAGACATTGTGCATCTGATGGAGTGCAAAGAAAACAAAATTACAAAGATTGACAAAGTGTCAATCATTTCAAATCAATCATTTCAAATTTGCTCATAAACAAGGGTATTAAACGTAGGGTAGATCATTTTGTCATTTGTGCATTTTGTTCGCTTGAAGCTACAAAACTGTTCCAAATCTAAAGAGGTGTACTTAAAGATATAGTCCATCATTTGTATTTTGTGCATTGTGTTCGTTTGAAGCAACAAAAGTGTTCAAAATCTAATGAAGGATACTGAACAACTAACCTGATGAAGTTTCAGCTCAGTTTCAGCTGTATATTCCGAGAAAAACAGCTTTCTAGGATCTCAATTTCAAATCAAAAGTTGCTGAATCATGTTTTGAATTGTTTTGAATTGCAGCTATATGCGATGTCGCGCACTGATCCGACGAATTATAGCAACCGCGCGCGCCTGTGCGTCATGCCAATGCTTGCGCGCGCTGCGCCGAATAACAAAACGAACTACTAATTTAAATTTTCCTACGGGGCGTCTTAAGACGCACCGTTGGAAAGGCCTTCTTTCGTTGATTACTTCAAAATGACAGCTGGCCAGAAAGAATAATTTCACAGGGAGTTCAGTCCCCTTACTATCTTTCAACCAAGTACGTTTTTCAACAATAATGATACAAATGATGGACTATAGCTTTAAGTATCGTCGATATATAAATATCACTCGATTCGGTACTATATTGATATCGATATCGCCGATAGAAATTTATTAATCATCGAAATATTGCAATATCAAAATTTTCGAAAATGCGTCGGATTATCATCAAAATAAATCGACTTTGCGTTCAACGTTTGCTGTATAACGAAAAAAAAAACATCTACTAACAGAAATTTCCAAAAAATGTGTCTTTTGTTTTCTTCAAATGACAGCACGCCAGAAAGAAGAATTTCACGGTGAGTATAGTACCATTACTAGTCTTACCAAGTATGCTTTTCAACAGTAATTGACTTTTTGGACAGCTGCAAAGCCACAACTCACAAAAACAAAACCAAAACTGAAAGGGCAAAAAAAAAACGGTATAAAACATACTGCAATCCAGTGGTTCTCCTTGCCGTCTGATGGAACCGATCACCACCGTTCCGTCTCTCTCGCTGCACCAGCATTCGCCGGTCGCGGGACTGCACTGGGCCGGCTCGTACCATCCCGTGGAGCTGCAGACGGGGTCAGAGGTCACGACCTCTCCCCTCTCGGTCTTGTGTTTGTTGTTCAGGAGCTCTCTGTGGCAGGGCGGCTCTGTTTCAATGAAAGAATCAGTTTGAAATGCAGGGCGAGTAAAACAAAAAAAAATGTCGGGATTATTGTTTTAGTGCAGTTCTGCATGTAGCACTTTTAAAACCTAGGATATGAAAGCCCAATGCTTCAGCTTTCTTTTAGTACAGGAATCATTCAAATCACTCAATTAATGTTCAAGTTACAAATTTTTAAACACAACCACCGTTTTAAAATTCGGCCTACAGATCACAAAAAGATAAGTGTTCTTTCAGCAAAACGAAAACAAGTCACATATAGGGATGTGTGTGAATTGTTTTCGTTTTGCTGAACACCTTTTATGGACAGAACTTTAAAACGGTGGTTGTGTTTAAAACTCCATAACCTTAAAAGTAAGTAAGTAAGTAATTTGAATGATTCTTGTACTAAAAGAAAGCTTATGAGTTGGGCTTTCATATCCTAGATTGCAGAACTTCATTAAAACAAAAGTCCCAACATTTGGGGGGTTTTTTTTTTGTACTCACCCTGTAAAAGTAGAATTTGGGGGGAAATTTAATTTTCTTCGGCCAGATTTTTTAGTCAAATATTTGCCTCCAATTTTGGAAGTAATTCTTGAAAAGCCTGCTACTTGGAATGCTAGAGTTGGGTTTTTTTTGTCTATTTTACCATTTGTCAAGCCACATACAAAAATGTAACAGTTGCTCGATTTTTTTTCATTTTTTTTTTCACACAGATGCAAATTTTTAGAACTTTTTTGAAGGAGAAATATACAAGGAAATAAGCAGGCGATCTAGCCCTCTACGATCCTGCCCACCATCCATACCCCCCCCCCCACCCTCAATCCCCCACCCCCAATGTGACAAAACACAAATCCCCCACCCCCACCCCCATCTGAAAAACACAAATAGAGATCTTATATTCAACCGCACCTGAAACACAGACCAACTCTTTCCCTGTTGGCACATCAAATTGCTCGGTCGCAACAGAACCGTCCGGATTGGCGCACCAGCAGTGACCGGAGGTGTCGCACTGCTTGGGGGAGAACTGGCCGTTCTTCAGGCAGCGGTGGAGAGTCTGGACACCTCGCGGGCTTTCCTGGTACTCATCGGGGTTGCACTGTGGCATTGGATCTTGACAACGAAAATACCAAAATTTTGTTCAGCGCCCAAGTGTACTGAGCTGATTACTGTGGCTGTTAGTAGTTATCACGGAATGAGTAAAATGACTGACGCAACAGAATATGAGGAACTTAGTCAGTCATCATGTCAAAAGTTGTCATGTTTTAAAAACTTCAAAAGTCAAAAAGATGTCATAATTTTGACAAAGTGTCTTCAAAACATTTTCAAAGTAATGTCAAAATGTCAAAAAGTTTTGTCAAAAAGCTGTCAAAATGTCAGTGTTACCAAAATGTTGTAAAAAGTCATAAATGATGTCGAAATGTCAAAATGTTGTCAGATTTTGTCAAAGTATTGTCAAAACATTGTCAAAATGTCAATTTGTTCACAAAATGTCAAAATGTTGTCGAAATCATATCAAAATGTCTAAAGCTGTCAAAAGTGGTCAAACTTAAGTGTTGTCAAAATGTTGTCAGACTAGTGTCAAAATGTCAACCTTAAGACAACAAAGCCTGAAGTGAACCAATTGCACTAAAAATGTCTAGTTTTGGAATAGGGGTCACAAATAAAGGATATTCACACCATACAATTAAAGCTTTGTTTCACTTCACCAAAGTTGGCACAGCTGCCACAAGTTTGATGAACAAAATTGACAAATAAAGGTTTGCTATGACGAGTGTACATACCAGTGTCACATGTTTTTGCTCGGCATGCTGGGATACCCGTCGCTTCACACGTACACTCGTTGCATCCTTCCATCCAGGTCTCGCCCTCGTCATGTTTGTTATTGGAGGAATCCTTACACTCTGCAAAATAAAAACCCTTCATGGATCAAGCCCAAAAACTTTACGTGGAACGGCCACATGGAGAATTTTATCACCACGTGTTTATACTGTCATTAACCCTGGCATGCCTGTAAATGCACAAGATATAGGTCATTCACATGGCCAAGGATTGTTTACAACCTGTCTGAGCTCCGGGCGGCACGAGGGTTTGACACGAAGGGATCGGCGGCACTTAGGGGTTGGCCACTAAGATCTCGCATTACTGCACAAAGGCATTAGGCACCATCTTGGCTTCTGTCTTTCAACACTCCTTACTCCGGAGTGGCTATAGGGTCTGGCCAATGGGAGTCTACAGGCTTGTAGTGTATAGTTAGGGAGAGGATTACATGGAAGCTTGGCCTAATTGGCACATTGAAAAAAAAATTATGCCTGTATTTGGAAAAATTTGGAGAATTTATCGCGAGCTTGCTGCGCGAAGGATTAATGAACCCTCCTTTGTTTGATCGGTCACAGACAGTCAAAAATTCAATCCTGTTCCCTGCCGTGCCTTTTACACAGGCTAGTCACCAAGAGTTGGATCATATTTCTTGTGGGCACTGTTGAATTTGTTTGTACTCTTGCGACTTTTTTTTTTAGCACCGACTGATACCAATCAGCTTCGTCCCAGTTACACTCAAGTCGCTAAAAAAATTAGCAAATGCAGCCGTTGTAGCTCAGGCGCAGCTTGATCCTGAAAAGGCAGTCGCCGACTGATCTGTGTCTTCGCAAGGTTGACCTGAGTGAGGCCTTAGGGTCCTCCATTCTTACTAAGTCTTAATCTTAAAATTTGTTCTAAACAGATGGGATGTGTTCCACTAAGAGGGCCCCTCCCTGCCCGACCTGCCAACCCCAACCCTCCACTCCCAACAACCACGCCACCCCTAGCAACCACCCAGTGTTGTGACCTACCAATTTTGTCCAGTTTAGTTTCAACTGAGCAGTCGATCTTCTGGTTGAGTTCATCGTAGTAAACTATTTTGCACGGCTGGCAGTAGTCAATGTGACAGACGGCATCCGGGTAATTCTCACACGGGGATTGTTCACAGAACACAATGAGGCACGTTACCGGGGGCGTGTCCTCCGGGCAGACTGGCTGGGATACTGAGAGATGAAAACAAGTCGAATAAAGAAGAATTATATATTGGATGGCTTTGCGGGGGATACGAGCATTGTCAAAATGTTGTCAAAATGATGTCAGACTGTTATCAAAATCTCGTCAAAATCTTGTCAAATCTTGTCAAAAGCTGTCTAAATAATGTCAAAAAATGTCAGCCTTAAGACTACAATGTATGAAGTACGACTTTTTTGTTGATCATGGATATATGGATCATATCAAAGTTTCATGAAATTTGTGAAATTTTCCCGACAATTTCCCTAAGATTGTTTTCTTCAAAATTCATCTTCACGACAAGGAATAAAAGCTGGGCAAAACTTTCCGATTCTGTTCTAATAGGGCAATTCAAAAACTGCTACAAGACAAATAATTTTGTTTGACTTACCGATTAGCCCTTGCCCGCAGCGGACCCGTTGTCCGCTCTCGTCGAAGTATCTCGCTTCGCAGCCGCCACATCTGCTGATGAGACAGGTGGCGTCTGGGTGACCTTCGCAGGTCGCGTCGCAGAGGTCGTCCGGGCAAGATGGCGCCACCGCGGTACCCTCGCGACAGAGCGAAAGAGCTGGCAACCAAACAGACACAAAACTCTTGAAATTATCTTCCTTTCTTTTTTTTCACAATCGCATTTTTTAGACAGCAGCGACCAATTTCACGAAACAGGGCGTGACTTAAGCCATGCGTATGCTTTACGCAAGAAACTTGTTTCGCAGCTGCGCGATAAATTTGCGATCAATTTCACAAAAAGGCCAAGCTACGCAACATTTTAAATAATTTAAACATCTTGGTCGAGGATAATAACAGCATTTACGATGGTTATTTGGATAAGAGTTTTATTTTGGTCAAAAAAGGTCTTTGAATCACCTCTCCCATCATTATGAAAATACATTTGCCCAACTTTCTGCGGAATCATGCCGTAACTCTAAAAATACTGTCACAGCTAATATAACAATTCATTTACTTGAACGAATAGCATACAGACAGTGTGAAGAACAATCGTCTATGGGAGATTTTGTAATTTGACAAACTGACGAATACGTTAACGATCAAATAAGAACATATCACACAACCACATGTAGTTCGTTTAACTTTTATACATTCTACATGTAGCGTGCAATATTATTGTGATCATCATAGATAAGTGCAAACTGAATTGAGTCTTAAAAAGTCACCTTTCACGTGGCATTTTGACAACCACTGTAGCACGTCTGTTGTTGCTACTTTGAACGCACACCTTACATTACATGGTTACCTGCGAAATTTCATATTCGTCACTATGTCAAATTATGGATTTGTTATTATGACTGATTCGCCACAGGGGGGCTCCGAATCTCAAAATCCAGACAAGAATTGAGAATTTTGGCATAAATACTTGAAAGAGTAACCTTTACAAACCACAAAATTACAAAATCTCAAAATCGCCAAAATGGTCGAATCGCCAGTTTGTCAGCTCCGTGACGAACATTTTACCTTCTTCACAGACGACCTTGCTAGGGCAGCATTCATCAGGAGTCTGCTTGGCCAAGTGGCATCGGTCGGGGATGGGCGGGGCCAAGCCACACTCATGGGGTATACAGACGGGGGTCAGAGAGGGGGAGCACTCACAGGTCATGCAGGATCCCTCCCACATTTCACCCACGCGGTGACCGCCTTCGCAGGTGGCTGGAGAAAGAAAAAAATGTCAAAATATCTAAAGCTGTCAAAACTTGTCAAATTAAAGTATTGTCAAAATGTTGTCAGACTTGTGTCAAAATGTCAACCTTAAGACTACAATGTATTTAAGCTAGAGTCCATCATTTGCAGCTAACCGAAAAGTAACTGGCGTAATTATTGTAGAAAAACATACTTGGTTGAAAGATAGTAAGGGGACTAAACTCCCTGTGAAATTATTCTTTCTGGCAAGCTGTCATTTTGAAGAAATCAACAAAAGAAGGCCTTTCCAATGGTGCGTCTGAAGACGCACCGTAGGAAATTCAAATTAGTAGTTCATTTTGTTATTCATCAAAGCGCGCGCCAGCATTTGCACAACGCACGCGCGCGCGGGGTTGCTATAATTCATCGGATCAGTGCGCGACATCGCGTAGCTGCAATGGGCTCAGTGAAAACGTGTATCGGACACTGACTTCAGGCCCAATTCAAAACATGATTTGGCAACTTTTGATTTGAAATCGAGATCCTAGAATGCTGTTTTTCTCGGAATATACAGCTGAAGCTGAGCTGAAACTTGGTTAGTTGTCCAGCACCCTTCTTTAGAATTTGAGCACTTTTGTTGCTTCAAACGAACAAAATACACAAATTACAAATGATGGACTATACCTTTAAGTGAGACAATTTTGCTAGAAATGCCTAGTTTTGGAATAGGGATCACAAATATAGGATTATATTCACACCATACAATTAAAGCTTTTTTCATTTCACCAAAATTGGCAGAGTTGCACCAGTTTGTTGAACAAAATTGACCAACAAAGGTTTGCCATGACGAGTGTACATACCAGTGTCACATGTTTTTGCTCGGCACACTGGGATACCCGTCGCTTCACACGTACACTCGTTGCATCCCTCCATCCAAGTCTCGCCCTCGTCATGTTTGTTATTGGAGGAATCTTTACACTCTGCAAAATACATTAATGAACCCTCCTTTGTTTGATCAGTCACGGACAGTCAAAAATTCAATCCTGTTCCCCTGCCGTGCCTTTTACACAGGCTAGTCACCAACAGTCAGATCATATTTCTTGTAGGCACTGTGGCATGTTGAATTTGTTTATACTCTTGCGACTCTTGGCACAACTTATACCAATTGTCTTAGTATCGTCCAAGTGATGTTCAGGTCACTAAAAAATGCAGCCCTCATAGCTCAGGGGCAGCTTAATCTTGAAAATCACTCGCCGACTGATCTGTGTCTTCGCAAGGTTGACCTGAGTGAGGCCTTAGGGTCCTCCATTCTTACTACCTCTTACTCTTAAAAATTTGTTCTAAACAGATGGGATGTGTTCCAACTTCCACTAAAAGGGCCCCTCCCTGCCCGACCCACCACCCCCAACCCTCCACTCCCAACAACCACCCCACCCCTAGCAACCACCCAGTGTCGTGACCTACCGATTTCGTCCACCTTAGTTTGGACTGAGCAGTCGATCTTCTGGTTGAGTTCATCGTAGTAAACAATTTCGCACGGCCGGCAGTAGTCAATGTGACAGACGGCGTCCGGGTAATTCTCACACGGGGATTGTTCACAGAACACAATGAGGCACGTTACCGGGGGCGTGTCCTCCGGGCAGACTGGCTGGATCACTGAGAGATGAAAACAAGTCGAATAAGGAAGACTTAACCATTAGGCGGCTTTGTGGGGGATAGGAGCATTGTCAAAATGATGTCAAAATGAACTTATCAAAATTGTGTCCAAATCTTGACAAATCTTGTCAAAAGCTGTCAAAATAATGTCAAAATAGTGTCAAATGTCAGCCTTAAGACGACAATGTATGAAGTACGACTTTGTTGTTGATCATGGATATATGGATCATATTAAAGTTTCATGAAATTTGTGAAATTTTCCCGACAATTTCCCTAAGATTGTTTTCTTCAAAATTCATCTTCACGAAAAGGAATAAAAACTGGGCAAAACTTTCCGATTCTGTTCGAACAGGGCAATTCAAAAACTGCTACAAGACAAATCAGTTTGTTTGACTTACCGATTAGCCCTTGCCCGCAGGGGACCCGTTGTCCGCTCTCGTCGAAGTATCTCGCTTCGCAGCCGCCACATCTGCTGATGAGACAGGTGGCGTCGGGGTGACCTTCGCAGGTCGCGTCGCAGAGGTCGTCCGGGCAAGATGGCGCCACCGCGGTACCCTCGCGACAGAGCGAAAGAGCTGGCAACCAAACAGGCACAAAACTCTTGAATTTGTTTTCTTTATTTTGTAAAATGTTCATCATCGTATTTTTCAGATAGAAGCTGCCCATTTCACGAGACAGGGCGTAAAACTTATGCCATGCATAGTATTCACGGAGGAAGCTTATCGCGCAGCCCTGCGATCAACCTGCAATCAATTCCATAAACTTCCGATCCGACAAACTGACGAATAGTATACAAGCAGTGTAAAGAACAACCGGCTATTGGAGATTTTGTAATTTGGCAAACTGACGAATCCGTTTATGATCAAATAAAAACACATCGCACAACTACATGTAGTTCGTTTAACTTTTATGCATTCTACATGTAGCATGCAATATTATTTTGATCATAATAGATAAGTGCAAACTGCATTGAGTCTTAAAAAAACACCTTTCACGCGACGTTTGACAACAGTAGCACATCTTTCATTGCTACTTTGAACGTAGATCAAGATGGTTACCAGCCAAATTTCGTTTTCGTCACTATGTCAAATTATGGATTTGTTATTATGACTGATTCGCCACAGGCGGGCTCTGAATCTCAAAATCCAGAAAGAATTAAGAAGTTTTGCATAAATACTTGAAAGAGCAACCTTTACAAACCACAAAATTACAAAATCTCAAAATCGCCAAAATGGTCGAATCGCCAGTTTGTCAGCTCCGTGACGAACATTTTACCTTCTTCACAGACGACCTTGCTAGGGCAGCATTCGTCAGGAGTCTGCTTGGCCAAGTGGCATCGGTCGGGGATGGGCGGGGCCAAGCCACACTCATGGGCTATACAGACGGGGGTCAGAGAGGGGGCGCACTCACAGGTCATACAGGATTCCTCCCACATTTCACCCACGCGCTGACCGCCTTCGCAGGTGGCTGGAGAAAGAAAAAAAATGTCAAAATGTCTAAAGCTGTCCAAACATGTCAAAGTAAAGTGTTGTCAAAATGTTGTCAGACTAGTGTCAAACTTGTGTCAAAATGTCAACCTTAAGACTACAATGTATTAAAGCTAGAGTCCATCATTTGCAGCTAACCGAAAAGTAAATGGCGTAATTATTGTAGAAAAACATACTTGGTTGAAAGATAGTAAGGGGACTAAACTCCCTGTGAAATTATTCTTTCTGGCAAGCTGTCATTTTGAAGAAATCAACAAAAGGCGGCCTTCTCAACGGTGCTTCTTAAGACGCACCGTAGGAAATTCAAATTAGTTGTTCGTTTTGTTATTCATCAAAGCGCGCTCCAGCATTTGCACAACGCACGCGGGCGCGGGGTTGCTATAATTCATCGGATCAGTGCGCGACATCGCGTAGCTGCAATGGGCTCAGTGAGAACGTGTATCGGACACTGACTTCAGGCCCAATTCAAAACATGATTCAGCAACTTTTGATTGAAATCGAGATCTTAGAATGCTGTTTTTCTCGGAATATACAGCTGAAGCTGAGCTGAAACTTGGTTAGTTGTTCAGTACCCTTCTTTAGAATTTGAGCACTTTTGTTGCTTCAAACGAACAAAATGCACAAATTACAAATGATGGACTATACCTCTAAGTGAGACAATTTTGCTAGAAATGCCTAGTTTTGGAATAGGGGTCACAAATAAAGGATATTTTCACCATACAATTAAAGCTTTTTTCACTTCACCAAAGTTAATTGGCAGAGTTGCCACAAGTTTGATGAACAAAATTGACCAAGAAAGGTTTGCCATGACGAGTGTACATACCGGTGTCGCATGTCTTTGCTCGGCATGATGGGATACCCGTCGCTTCACACGTACACTCGTTGCATCCCTCCATCCAAGTCTCGCCCTCGTCATGTTTGTTATTGGAGGAATCCTTACACTCTGCAAAATACATGAATGAACCCTCCTTTGTTTGATCAGTCACGGACAGTCAAAAATTCAATCCTGTATCCCTGCCGTGCCTTTTACACAGGCTAGTCACCAACAGTCAGATCATATTTCTTGTGGGCACTGTTGAATTTGTTTGTACTCTTGTAACTTTTTTTTTTTAGCGCCGACTGATACCAATCGTCCTAGTATCGTCCCAGTTACAAGATATTTTTGCTAAGTTACACGAAAATCAGCAAATGCAGCGGTCGTAGTCAGGCACAGCTGAAGTCAGTTGCCGACTGATCTGTGTCGTCGCAAGGTTGACCTGACGAAGGCCTTAGGGTCCTCCATTCTTACTACGTCTTAATCTTAAAAATTTGTTCTAAACAGATGGGATGTGTTCCACTAAAAGGGCCCCTCCCTGCCCGACCCACCACCCCCAACCCTCCACCCCCAACAACAACCCCACCACTAATCTGACACTGTTGTGACCTACCGATTTCGTCCACCTTAGTTTCGACTGAGCAGTCGATCTTCTGGTTGAGTTCATCGTAGTAGACTATTTCGCACGGCCGGCAGTAGTCGATGTGACACACGGCATCCGGGTAATTCACACACGGGTGGAGTTCACAGAACACAATGAGGCACGTTACCGGGGGCGTGTCCTCCGGGCAGACTGGCTGGGATACTGAGAGATGAAAACAAGTCGAATAAAGAAGAATTATATATTGGATGGCTTTGCGGGGGATACGAGCATTGTCAAAATGTTGTCAAAATGATGTCAGACTGTTATCAAAATCTTGTCAAAATCTTGTCAAATCTTGTCAAAAGCTGTCAAAATAATGTCAAAAAATGTCAGCCTTAAGACTACAATGTATGAAGTACGACTTTTTTGTTGATCATGGATATATGGATCATATCAAAGTTTCATGAAATTTGTGAAATTTCCCCGACAATTTCCCTAAGATTGTTTTCTTCAAAATTCATCTTCACGAAAAGAAATAAAAACTGGGAAAAAGTTTCCGATTCTGTTTTAATAGGGCAATTCAAAAACTGCTACGAGACGAATAAATTTGTTTGACTTACCAATTAGCCCTTGCCCGCAGGGGACCCGTTGTCCACTCTCGTCGAAGTATCTCGCTTCGCAGCCGCCACATCTGCTGATGAGACAGGTGGCGTCTGGGTGACCTTCGCAGGTCGCGTCGCAGAGGTCGTCCGGGCAAGATGGCGCCACCGCGGTACCCTCGCGACAGAGCGAAAGAGCTGGCAACCAAACAGTCACAAAACTCTTGAATTCTTCTTCTTCTTTTTTTGTAAAATGTTCCTCATCGTATTTTTCAGATAGAAGCTGCCCATTTCACGAGACAGGGCGTCAAACTTATGCCATGCGTGGTATTCACGGAAGAAGCTTGTTGCGCAGCTCTGCGATAAACTTGCAATCAATTCGATAAACTTGCGATCCGACACACCGATGAATAGTATACAAGCAGTGTAAAGAACAACTGGCTATTGGAGATTTTGTAATTTGGCAAACTGACGAATCCGTTTATGATCAAATAAGAACATATCGCACAACTACATGTAGTTCGTTTAACTTTTATGCATTCTACATGTAGCATGCAATATTATTTTGATCATAATAGATAAGTGCAAACTGCATTGAGTCTTAAAAAAACACCTTTCACGCGACGTTTGACAACAGTAGCACATCTTTCATTGCTACTTTGAACGTAGATCAAGATGGTTACCAGCCAAATTTCGTATTCGTCACTATGTCAAATTCTGGATTTGTTATTATGACTGATTCGCCACAGGCGGGCTCCGAATCTCAAAATCCAGAGAGAATTAAGAATTTTTGCATAAATACTTGAAAGAGCAGCCTTTACAAACCACAAAAATGACAAAATCTCAAAAACGCCAAAAAGGTCGGGATTCGCTGGTAAGTCAGCTCCGCGACTTAGTTTTTACCTTCTTCACAGACGACCTTGCTAGGGCAGCATTCGTCAGGAGTCTGCTTGGCCAAGTAGCATCGGTCGGGGATGGGCGGGGCCCGGCCACACTCATGGGGTATACAGACGGGGGTCAGAGAGGGGGAGCACTCACAGGTCATGCAGGAGCCTTCCCAAATTTCACCCACGCGGTGACCCCCTTCGCAGGTGGCTAGGTTAAGAGCTTAAAAAAAGATTGAAGACTTTACGCCATTTGGGGTTTTTTTTGCGGAAATGCTACGTAAATTGTGCACCACAAAATAAAACGTTTAAATGTGTTCAACTTGAGAAAATTTGCAGAGTGAATACTTCAAAATGTGGCTGTTACTTCATTTTGTCTGATCTTTTTTCTCTTATCTTATCGTTTTGTCTTATACAGGGCGAGTGAAAAAAGGGAAACCCAAACCCCAAAAATTTTATTTCCTATTTAAAAAAATAAGTAGCACCAAAAATAAAAGTGACTGGAAAGCCAATTTCATAAGCTACTTTTAGATAAAAAAAAAACTAAAATTGGTAAATCTATTTCAAAGAATATCACCACTTAAACACAATGACCCTAAAATCTCTCTTGTCCAAAAATGTGATTTCAAGAATCGTCATCACAATTGTCTTCAAACATCACCAGCGATAAAATCTCAGTTTAAACGTTAAAAATTCAACAAAGTCCTTTTGAAGCCCTTTTGTGTTTAAAAATTAAGTAGATTTTATAAATCATATTGTTTGCCTGAACAGGGTTGTTAATGAAGATATTGTGTACTACATTTGCTGACAGCTGTTGAAACAAGTATTCTGGGCCATTTTCTTTGTTGTTCAAAACAGTCAGAACACACAACCAATTGTTGGGTTTTTTTTGACGAGACAGGTTTTAGGGTCATTGCTTTTAAATGGTGATATTCTTTGAACAGTTGAACGGATTGAGCAAATTAAGTAACTTTTTCATCTAAAAAAATAGCTTATGAAATTGGCTTTCCAGTCATTTTTTTTTTTTTGGTGCTACATATTTTTTTTTATATGAAATGTATATTTGGGGGTTTGGGTTCCCCTTTTTCGACTCACCCTGTATAAGTACAGAATAGCCGCTGAATGTAAAAACATCTGAGCTCGATAAAGACAGCCATCTCACATGGAAGCATTCTTTGCGATACCCGAGATATACAGGAGATATGCGTGACGAGTATAAATCAGGCTTTTCAAGTTTAAGAACAAGCTCATGCGTAAAAGCGTATAGTGAAACAGACGAGGAACTGGCGAATAGGCATGGCTTCAGCGGTATCGGAGCATTGATTATCACCCTTACCGGCGTCGCACGTCTTAGCTCGGCATGTTGGGATACCCGTCTCTTCGCACGTACACTCGTTGCAGCCTTCCAGCCACGTCTCGCCCAGGTCGTGTTTGTTATTGGAGGAATCCTTGCATTCTGAAAAAAAACCATAAATGTCGTTTTGCCTTTTGAGAAAGGTCCTGCCGGGGTTGGAAACGTTACGCTGTCTACTTTTATTGATTTGAATATTTGCAGAAGTTTATAACTCAATTCATGTTTACTCTGAACAAAAATCAACCAAAAAATGTCAGCTGTGAAGTCATGCCGACAGAAAGCCGCTATCCACTCCATTAACAAGTACCCCCTCACCGGCAAAGGAAGTACAGTTGGGGGTGACCGACCGACGCCATCTTGCCTGACTGCAATTCATTTGCTGCGAAGCGCGGCCACTGCGTGTACATAGTACAAAGCCCCTGGTTTACGTGCGTCACACACAAGGAACAGTGCGCGTCAACCAGTGAAGTGTCCCGCCCATGGAACGTCGTTGATAGGTAAAAGGGCGCCCTCTTTCGTCGGTGCACGGAGCCCATAACGAACACAGCCCATAAGCATCCACACAAATTGTTCGTTATAGCGATCGTTCAGTATAGCGATTTTAGGCTGCCGGTGCTCCGGTACTCAATTTTCAATAAATAGCGCCCTTCATAACTTCACCCTGCAGGCTTTGGTGGTTACTGAAAGCCGACTTTGAACAGGTGCCGACTATTGAATTATGTAATTACGTAGTTTTTGAGCTTACTACCTACAGCACAGGGTGGCATTCCCCTTCCGTTCCTTTGGGAAATAATAGCCACTTGTCGCTCTTCTGTTGACATTTTTCAACAACAATGTTCGGTACATTTTGAACACAAAAATCGGGAGCCAAGGTCAATGTTCAGTATGGCCAAAAAAAAATAAATACTCGGTCTCTGGTCAGACCAAAGTTCTGGAATTGATGCGGCAACGCGACTTTTTTTTTTTTTTTTGCTTTTTTTTTTTCAAGCTTGAATTGTACAGACAAGGTTGGGTACTATTTTGCTTTTTTTGATGTCCTCGCATACATTGGTGTCCTCCATCGTTTGCCTTGGTGCCCTTGATCATTTGCCTTGGTGCAATTTCCCATTCCTTGGTGCTCTTTGGTAAAAAAAAATGAGGAGGTGCGACAATAGAGGGCGCTGTTGGAGCTACCGCGGAACATGTTGGAAAAAAAAAGATTAACGCACGTGATTAAAATCGACACGTTTGCTGACCAGAGACCGACTATTTTTTCTTTTTGGCCTATGGCCGAATATTCAGCATAGCGATGTTCGGTATAGCGACATTACTGCCATTTGTCTCAAGATTTAATGAATTTCTCACCGTGGGATGAACATTTTTAGTAACGGATTTTGCGTCTGTGCATTGTAAACATTGCGTTACCCGACAGCTTGTATTCAAATTCCACAACATTTATGAAAATAAGCAATTTATTACGGAAAAATCATCTTTATGTTTAGGGTTTGGGAAAAAGAAAGACTGAACCAACCGATAGTATCCTTCTTGCCTTTCTCCTCGCAATCCAGCAGATTGTTGCAAGGGCAATGGAAGACGGCCGTGCAGGGTTGGCAGTAGTCAACGTGGCAGACTGCGTCGGGGAACCGGTAATGATCGCATGTCTTGACGTCACACGGCGACGCGAAACACGTCAACACGGGGACGTCAGTGGGGCACTTGGGCTCCACTTCTGAGTTTTCAAATGCAAAGAGAAATTCGTGAGTGAATTGTCGGGGGGGGGGGGGGTGCTAGGGGGTGGCTATGTTTTGACCATAGAGCTATATTAAATTACTAGAGCGCTAACTCCTCATTCTTGCACGCGGAGACGCTTTGAAGCCGCTCTGGGCGCAGACATTTTGAATTTATGTGCGTGTTTGTAGAACACAATCAAAATAGATGGATTGAATTTTAAAAGTGTACTCTAAATGCAACGCGCAAGTAGAAGATACGCAAACAACTTAAGCGCGTCATAAAGTTCAAGAAACGTCACGGTGAATAGCATCTGCAGCAGAGGGGGACGCGCACACGTTGCGCTGTTTGCGTAGAGCAAAATGAAACGCTCATTTGCTGATCGTGCGTTTCGGTTTTGGGCGTATCGGCTTCGATGACGCACTGGTATGAAACACAAATGCAAATAGCCGTACAAAAGCCGTACAAAATTTCGAGTTTTCCATAGGTTTGTGCGCAAACATGGATGCGCCCATCAGGCATTACTTTGTACATCGAGTTAGCACTCTAGTAATTTAATATAGCTCTATGGTTTTGACAAGCAGTGTTCAATAAGGGGTTTGTAAGAGCAGCCTGACTTCCTAAAAATGTTTGTTTTCCCAGTAAACATTTTGCAGCCTCTCTGAATAGTGTAGCGGTGATTGCCATCTTTATTTTTCATGTTGCGTGTTGTTGTTTTCATCATCGTTTTTATGACAAATCAAGAAAAACAAAACCTGCCGTCGTTCCTCAACAGTCCCGTTTCAAACATCACTAACTACTTGGTAAGTGACACGAGCTAAAAGTGGTTTTTCTCTTACGGGGCCTGTAACTTGACAACTGCCCAGAATGTGATTTACACATTGTATCCATTACTCACGCAGTGTTCCACCCTCGCATTGCACCGTTTGGTTGTTCTGATCGAAGAATTTGGCAGAGCAGCCGCCACATCTGCTGATGAGACAGGTCGCGTTGGGGTGACCTTCACAGGTCGTGTCGCAGAGGTCGTCCGGGCAGGACGACGCGACCGATGCACTGAACGGACAGTCAGATAGCGCTGGAAGAACGAATAAAAATCAAGTTCTCAAAATGCTCAAAAGTACTCGAAATGAGTTAATACAATTTTTTTTTAAAACAGTGCGATTATAGATTTTTAGCTTCAGGAAAGCAGTTTCATAAGTTTGTCTTTCTGAGTGTAAATCAGGGTGAGTCTTCAGAAATTGAAACTAACTTAATTTGTTTGGGAGAATAAAAAATGGGTTTTTTTATGCTATGAAATACAAATGGTTATTGTTCACTATAAAGTGTTGCTAGTATTAAGTAAGGATGTAAATTTCTTAAGATATACCATAAGTTGGTCACTCTGTGCGTTAGTTAGCATAATTTCATAATGTCACACACGTGACTGAACACACATACTGAAATTTGTATCCTTGTGGAGACATTTCTTTGTTCTCGTGTTGTAAAGTTTCCGAGTTTGAAAGTGTAGTTTCAAAATGCTCATATTTTAACCAGAATTAATTTCCTGGGCCGAAATTTGGACTTAATATCTCTTTTCTAAAACTCTTCCATTTGCGACAGATCAACCCTCCTTGGAAATTCGTAGTTTTTGAGTAAAATCCATACATCTATTTTGTGAAAACCTTGTGGGGACGTATTTATCTATAGAAATTGCCCTGTGGAGACGTATGCAATCTTTTGTTCCCTATTGTGTGCATGTCTCCAGAGGGCACAGTGTATCAGATCAAAATGTCACACATGTGACCACAGAACAATTCCTATTTAGCATACTCAGTAAAACTAACGCAGAGAGTGTACATTGTTTATGCCGTCTCTAAATCACAAAAGCTAGAGCCTCGCCAGAAAAAAAAGTTGCCGATATTTTTGGACGCGCTGTGGAAAGTAACCCTTTTTTTAAGTTTCTTTAGAAAGTCTACATCTTCAAATACAAAGTGTGTTTCCTTACGTTCTTCGCAGACCATTTTTGACGGGCAGCACTCGTCGGGGGTTCGCTTAGCCCAGCGGCATCGGACGGGAAGGGGCGGGGCCAGGCCACACTCGTGCGGTATACAGGCAATGAGGGCGCTCTGATGGCACTCGCAGGTCATACAGGTTTCTTCCCAATGGTCGCCGACAGCGTGAGTCTCATCGCACATCTCTGCAAACAAATATCACGTTCAGTATTTTATTGTCATTTTGCAGTGGAAGCATGGAAACCTGATTTTGAATAAGGAATAAATATGTGCTTGGCCGGTTTTAAACACCGTGTTTAAGACTGGTTTTAAACACTGTGTTTAAGACTGGTTGTGCTTGGCCGGTTTTAAACACCCTGTTTAAGACTGGTTGTGCTTGGCCAGTTTTAAACACTCTGTTTAAGACTGGTTGGAGTCTGGATGCTGATAATTACCGGTGCCATTTTTCTCAAGTGAAAAAAGACTGTGTTGAAATCAAGTCAACTCACAAGTCCATCAAATGTCATTCGAAATTAAACTCCCAATTGTTGAACAATACATTCAAATTACAAGTCAAATCACAAGTCAATCACAAGTCCATCAATGTTTACTAGTCAATCACAAGTCAATATCATGGCAATAACAAGTCAATCACAAGTCAATCACAAGTCAAATCACAGGTCAATCACAACTGAATCACAATTCAATCACAAGCCAATCACAAGTCAGTCACAAGCCACTCACAATTCAGTCACAAGTCAAATCACAAGTCAATCACAATCAATCACAAGCCAATTAAAATTAATCACAAGTCAATCACAACCCACTCACAAGTCACGTCACAAGTCAATCACAAGTCAAATCACAAGTCAATCACAAGTCAATTACAAGCAATCACAAGTCAGTCACAAGTCAATCACAAGTCAATCACAAGCAATCACAAGCCCAATCAGAAGCTTTAGTTCAACAACCATGAAACAAAGTTGCTTAATTTTGTAAAGTCTACCTCTGATCTCGCCACAAACCAACGGCTCGTTTCTCTCGTTGAAAAACAACGGGTCGCACTGATTGCAGAGTTCAACGTGACAGGCTGCTTCGGGGTAATCACGGCAGACTGCCCCGGCGTCACATGGGGACACGATACAGGTGGTCATTGATCCAGAGCACAATGCCTCTATGATGAGAAAAACATAACCAACAATTCAAAAACCTTGCTTGATTCCTGCTTGATTCCATGCGGTTCCCCAGAATGTCATTCTGGGGTTTTCCTCCCACCTCTAAAACTGTAATTTCTTCTCATTGTCTTCTCTCTGCAGGTTTCTTAATAATAATAATAAGGCAAAAAAAAGAATAGTTCTGCTCCGATTACCCGACCGACCCTATTTTTAGGCTGCGACCCTAAAAATTTTATCGGCAATTCCAAAAAAAAAAAAAAAAAAAAAAGATTGAATAAATAAAAATAAAATTTTGTTGTCTTTTCTGTCTTCACAAAATACCTCTCAACAACCCTTTTGCATCAAAAAATGCTTGTATTTATTTGTTTTCTTACTTACATTCGCTTTTTTTCAAAAGAAACCTCCGTTATTTTTACAAATTTGCTTCGCGATATAAACGATGTCCGTATGGTGACTATATCACGTGGCGACGACTGGTTCCCGCCGCGCCGCGCAGGGACCAATTTAGAAGACATGATGAAAGTGCGGTAACCAGTCCATAGCTATGCGATCGCAACCGATAGCGCGCTAGCAGTGCAGGCCACTGTCAACTGGTCGGATTCGACATCGTGAAAAATGCCAAGAACAGTTTTGCAAGTTAATTTACAGAATTGATCTAGCTTGTCTGTGTATGTATTTTCTGTGTTCAAGAGTTCATTTTGAGATCGCACAACTCGTATTTGGAGTGATACATGCCGCGTGTTTCCCGACATTTTTTACCGTGAAAACAGGTCTGTTGGCCCATGGCGGGCCGCTCGCCACACATGCTTGCATCACACACCTCGGAGTTTTGGCCAGCTCCCCGCGTCTTGACTAGCGTTGTGCATATGGTGCAAACGACCTGAATTTTCCATTATTTTTTGAAATTATCGAACATAAATATATTGACAATAATTAAAGGTAGGTTTTATTCACTTTTTGTTGCCATTTCGTGTATAGCTTTCGTAGTGCAATGGAAATAGTTCAGGCTAAAACTTCGCATATAATTGAATACCCCATTCAATCTGCATAAAAAAAATTGGCAAAAAAAAAAAAAATTCCGACCAACCGACCGACCCTATTTTTGAAAGGCATGTAATCAGAAGCAGAAATATATTTTTTTGGCCTAATGATAATAATAACAGGTTCTTATATAGCACTTTTAACTAAGATCAAAGCGCTTTACATTATTATTACCCCTAATCATTGGGCCAATTAAACATTCCATATACCATCTCAGCTCCCTGGGGAGTATACAGCTCGATGCAGCCTGTTAGGCGCAAGGAAGCTAATTCAATCACAATAACCATCTCTGCCCTCACAGGTACCCATTTACTCCTGGGTGGGGATAAGCAATGAGTGACAAAGTGCCTTGCCCAAGGGCACACGCACCATGACCCCGGGCTGGACTCGAACCCACAACCTGCAGCTTTACCCACAGACCACGAATCCAATGCCCTTAACCATGAGGCCAACATACGCTCAGGCTTGCGAGCTACAGTGCCTAGGGTGCTTTTGAGGAATCATTGGTTTCATTTCCCAGAAATTAAAATAATAATAATTATTTTAACTGTGGCTTGTAATCCAATGGGTTTTTTTCCGCTGCTCAACATATGTCTCTAGACAAGATGAAAAAAGTTGCCACTTACGTCAGATTGGAGTGTTGGGCTTATTTTAACACACAAAAATGTGGAAACAGAAAGCACACACAACATTAGTATCGCGTAGTAAACGTTTACACATAGACAGAGAACCGTTTAGAATTATGTAAATTTATGCAAGCTCATAGCGTATAATTAAACCATGCACCGTCATTGGTCAGAATACAGATTTATCTGGCAGCGATTTGGAAAAACTGAGACTGTGCGTTCTGAGCGCAGAATGGTTCACCCTACTTGCGGTATGAAAAAATCCCGGTGAAACCGGTACATGATTTTTACCAGTTTTATACAATGTATACATACCCATGACTACAGCCTCATTTTGACATGCCACCTTCGCGCCGTCGCCGTCGTAGAAGACGGTGTGGCACGTCCCGCAGTGGCTGATTTTACACGTAGCGTCGGGGTGTCCGTCGCAGGTCGCTGTTAGGCAGAGATCCGAGGGGCAGTCTTGCATCACGACACTGCCCGGTTCGCAGGCAGAGATGGCTGTAAACAGACAAGAGAGACCGTTTTCCAATTTGGCAAAATTTGGTTTTGGTCAAATTAGACATCATATAACTGACATACAGATCTTTAGCATTTGATTGGTGGAACTCACATCACGTGACATTCGTTATTACTCCCATTCATGCCGGGCCACAAAAAGTCCCATTCGCCCATTGGGAATGGGAAATACTATTCAACGGTTTGGATCATTCTTGTTCCGTGACGTGGTATTTGCGTGCAAATGCATGCTGGTGTGCGCGTTCAGCGTTGCGGGTAGCGCGTATTGTTCTAAAGAGCCAAGCACTACAGAGTTGGGTTCAAACATTTTCGTGAAGGGGTGGTTTGGAAGAGGGCAATACATTTTCCACCAATTTTATTCTAAAATAAAAGTTCAAATATATCAAATGACAAGGATCTATATGTCAGTTATATAAAACAAATATTGAGTGGCTTTAAATTGTGAAATGGGAGGAATCTTATCGCTCGGTAAAATCTGGACTTTTCCAGTTCACTCGGCTTCGCCTCGTGAAATGGAGAAGTCCAGATTTTACCTTGCAATAATATTCCTCCCATTCCACGCTGAGCCACTCAATACTTGTATACTATAACATACTAATCCTGCAAATCCATGTATTTTTGAAAATTCCCTTTAACCCAGGTTTAATCCCAGCAACAACCAACGTTTTCTCAACTCACGTTCGTCGCAAACAATGCCGTTTTGGCTATCGTCCCTCGGACAGCACTCCCCGGTCCGAATGACCCATCGGCAGAGAGGGGGGATGTAGCGATTGACGCCGGGACAGAGCTCCCTGACGCAGGACACATTGTTGTTGTCGTTACACGTGCAGAGATTGCAGCTGCTGGGACCACCCTCGCTCCATGTCTCCCCTACATCATAATGGGTCCTTCCATCAGAGTCCAGGCAACCTATCAGAGGGGAGAGAAGAACTCAGTTACAGTTCATGATTGGTTAAAACAGAATGGGTTATTCTATGGGGGTTTTTCTCGAGGGGGGAATGAACCTTTTTAGTATCTTGAAAACAGCCAAAAATATGACTCTAAGGCCCCCCAAAAAAAGTCTCCGGTTTCTGGTATTGAGCTTGCCCAAAAAGTGGTGCGGCGACGCGGCTTTTTTTTTTTTTTCCTGATTTTTTTGCTTCAAATGTCGGCTGATGACTGCAAATGATGCCCGACTAAACTTAGTGCAAATATATGGGAGACCAGAGAGGCCACATAAAGCTTATTCTCGACCATAACCCAATCTAAAAACACGTTAAAATTGTGCAGCAGCAGGAATCCAGACAAACCAGTGAGTTTTGCGGTTTTGAGACATCATCTTTCATTGAAAAAAAAACTTTTTCATTTTGCCGACGCGCATACCAGAAACCGGAGACTTTTTTTTTTGGCCTAAACATTGAGATGGGAACCAATCACACTGAAAATTTAACTCAGGCATCCGTTTAAATTGTCTGTGAGATGAATTTTATCTTAGGAACACATTTTGTTGTTTGTGCAACTTTTTACCTCTCTTAAAACTAAGGCACGCTGTCTTTCTGCACACTCAAAATAGAATTGCCCCATCCAGAACGTGCACATGGTGTGCATGTCCCATTCACGGGGTACTCGAAAGCACACAAAGTAATGTTTTACTATACTCCCAAGGACAATGCTTTGTCTTAATTTCCCTTTGTCCCTGTAATATAACACTCTCCCTTGGACTAAGCACACAAACCTACTACAGAGGACCGTTTCCAACAAAAGACCCAACTCCCGAGGACTGAAAGGATCTGTTGTTCTCCCTTTGTGTGTCGGTCCTCAGGGGTTATGTAGAACACGTACACCCTCTCTTATTCCCACAGGGAGCCAACCTCTGAGAGCAAAATGTCCGAATCGGTACCCACCTATGCAGTCGAAGTCTGGGCAGCAGACGTCCTCCATCCCGGGCTTGACCAAGCAGTATTCCCAGCGCATCGGCGGACCGGCACACGAGGGCGACATGCAGACCGCTTCCCCATCCATGCACTCGCATTGCGTGCATTTGTCCATTTTCCATCGTTCGTCGGGTTCGTGTTTATTGCCGTTGTAGTCAGTGCATTGGGACTCTGCGAGATGGCAAAGATGTGACATTAGGGTTCTGGTCAGGTTCGTCACAAGCCACTGGCAAGACAGCCACAAGTCATTCACAAGTCAATCACACGTCAGTCACAAGTCAGTCACAAGTCAATTGCAAGTCAGTCATAAGTCAATCACAAATCAGTAACAAGTCAATCACGAGTCAATCACAAGTCAATCACAAGTCAATCACAAGTCAATCACAAGTCAGTCACAAGTCAATCACAAGTGAATCACACGTCAGTCATAAGTCAGTCACAAGTCATTCACGAGTCAATCACAAATCAGTCACAAGTCAATCACGAGTCAATCACAAGTTAGTCGCAAGTCAATCACGAGTCAATCACGAGTCAGTCACAAGTCAATCACAAGTCATCACAAGACCAACACAAGACCAACACAAGACCATCACAAGACCATCACAAGACCAACACAAGACCATCACAAGACCATCACAAGACCATCACAAGACCATCACAAGATCATCACAAGATCATCACAAAACCAACACAAGACCATCTAAGACCTTCACAATACTACACAAGACCGTCACAACATTTTTTTTCAAACACAACCCTTTTTTCCGGTGTACATACGCAACGTCTCTGGATCTGGCAATGCACACTCGACTTCCTTATCTTCAACATAAAACTTGGCGACGCATCCTCCGCACATAGAGGGCTTGCAAACGGCGTCGGGGTGGGCAGGGCATCTAGTAGTCTCCAGGTCACATGGGTTGGTAGTACACTTCCAGGCGTAGTCGTCATTTGGGCATTCTGTACACATCAAGAAACACAAACAAGATCAACAAGTCGTGTTTTACTATACGCCTGAGGACAACCTATTGTGTTTCCCTTTGTCCCTGTACTTTAACACTTTCCCATAGACTAAACACATAAACGTACGATCGAGGACAGTTTCGAACAAAAGCACCGTCGTTCGAGGACTGAAAGGATCTTTTGTTCTCCCTTTGTGTGTCTGTCCTCGAGCGTGATACAAGACAGAAACATGAATATTCAAAAGAAAAAAACAGATTACGACACTGCATTCGTGACCTTTAAAGGGAATATACAACATTTGCTTTTGCTGTAATTTTCAGAAATGGATGGATTTCTGGGGTTAGTGTTTCATCACTGACTTGTTTGACGTGTTGGGTTCGTAGATGCTGGAAAAACCTTGAAAAAACAATCATGTTCATGTTGTCTGGTTCTGACCCAATTAAGGTGAAACGGAGCAATCTATAAATGTCAGGGAATTGTATAATGTCGGGGAATCAGTCACAGTTGTGTAACCGATTGCAAAGAAGATGCGAACTTACTAAATATGATAAACTGGTAGCACTATTTGAAGAAAAAAAAGTTTTTTTCAAACGCTGGTCAGCCAACAAGCGTTGGAAACTGATACGAAAATACCACTTTTCTTGATAATGTCAGCACACCAGGTGCCATGTTTTTACAGGATGCTTTAGACTGTCATTCACTAAACAGTCCAGTAAGGTATCATAATAATTTGGTAGTTATGTTTTTTGGTGTTTGCAAATGTTGTATATTCCCTTTAATTAGGCCTTTTCAATTTAAAGTTGCATTCCCCATACTCTCCAACAAGTTATTTTTTTTTTGTTCTATCAATAAATTTTCACCTTGTATAAGATATTTCATTCCAACAAAAAAAATCTTCCCTTTTTTTTTTTTGTGGCCGTCTGCAACCCTCTGGGGAAAAAAAATGTTTTTGTTTTGAGCACGAACAGATACGTTTTGAGAGGCGACTAGCCCCCAGTCCATACATTATCAATACTGATTGTGGGGCGGGAACCAGCCTATCCAACGAGAACAGAATCATTATCAGGCAGCCAATAATTTGGAATTGCAAAGTACTATAAATTCAATAACTAAACATGGGTCGATTTTTTTTTTTGGTCAATGTCGCATTAAAAAGTGAATAACTTTTGTGTTGCTAGAAAAAAAAATAATTTTATTTTGAGCTTTACGGTTTTTTTTTTCTGGATATGTCCCGACGATCCTAAATGCCTTCACATGCAACATTGTGATACGAATGCCAAAAACAGGACCATTACCCCCTATAATCTATTCGGGTCGATCGTTCTATAAATTTAGGGTCCAAAGTCCAAAATAAGGTTACATATGACTCAAAGGTGCATTTTCTAGAATTGCATTAAAAAAAATTTACACTACATGGACCATAGGAATGACACATTTTTATACCATCAATTACACAGACTCAAGCTGGCAAATCCATCCCAACTTGACCTTTGACACTGCGACCCAGTTTCCAGGGATAACGTGTTTACCAAAAACAAGTGGAGCTGGTTTAAGTCATAAATTTGCATACAAAGGAGTCCGCATGGGGCTGGGGCGTTAAAACTTTTTGGACAGCTGATAGAGTGATAATATTTGATATTTTGAAGATTTTATTTGTGCTCTTTACCCTTATGCTGTGTGCATTATTGCAGTGTCGTTTGACTTTTCCCAAATTTATTCTATAAATTTGGGTCCATTCTATTTTCTCCTGTCCTTGTTACATCCGACACCCGAGGTTTTTTCAATTCTGATGCAATGTAATTTTTTAATGCAATCTTTGAAAAAGCACCTTTGTGTCCCATTTAAACCTATTTTCAATTTTCGTTTTGTCATTTTCAAGGGTATTTTTTGGTACTTTTTTTAGGTTTTTATGCTATAAATTTGGGGTCCACTTTTTTGCCCCTGCCCCTGGTACATGTAACATCTGCGATTTTTTAATTCTGATGCAATGTAATTTTTTCAATGCAATCCTTGAAAATCCACCTTTGTGTCCCATTTAACCTATTTTCAATTTTCGTTTTGCCATTTTCAAGGGTATTTCGGTACCTTTTTCAGGTTTTTATGCTATAAATTTGGGGACCACTTTTTTGCCCCTGTCCCTGGTACATGTATGTAACATCTGTGACTTTTTAATTCTGATGCAAAGTAATTTTTTAATGCAATCCTTGAAAATCCACCTTTGTGTCCCATTTAAACCAATTTTCAATTTTCGTTTTGCCATTTTCAAGGGTATTTTGGTACCTTTTTTAGGTTTTTATGCTATAAATTTGGGGTCCACTTTTTTGCCCCTGTCCCTGGTACATGTAACATCTGTAATTTTTTAGTTCTGATGTAATGTAATTTTTTAAATGCAATCCTTGAAAATGCAGGTTTATGTCCCATTTAACCTATTTTCAATTTTCATTTTGCCATTTTCAAGGGTACTTTGATGCCTTTTTTAGGTTTTAACAATGCAAATTTCTATATTCCTTGAGCAAAAGTGTGATGTCATTTCAGGCTGAAACCTCAATGTTACAGCTATTTCAGCACAAAAAAGTTGCCAGAATTTTGGATATTTTTTCGCTGTTGTAAATTTGTTTTTCTTTGGTGATTCGTTGTTGTGTCAGTATGTGGCCGTATTAAGCCAATGAGAGCATTTTTACCCTCTACTTCGCCTCAGGTAATTACCAGCATTCCAGACTCCAACCAGTCTTAAACCGAGTGTTTAACACCTCCCAAGCACACATTTATTCCCTTATTCATAAATACCTCAGACAGTTTAGCTATTCCTATTAGTCGAGAGCCCGTCACGTGGCCGGTCTTAAACGGATGATAAAGACATGGCTAGCTGGTCTTAAACACTTTTTCAGTGTCACATAAAATGTGGACTCCTAAAAAACCAGTGCCTGTTACCGTTTTATTGGTTGAACGTTCACAATCCTCACGTAGGCATGCGCAACACTACCAGCGAGTCAGAATTTTATAGTTCTTAATTCAAAACGCAACGCCCCACGCGCAGAGCATGCTACGCGCGCGTCAATCTCCATAAAAGGGTTGTTTACATCTTACTCGCCAGCTGAACACTCCATTATTTTGCTAGAGGGATGTTTCAAAAAGCATGAAGTGAACTTGTTGAACAAATTGGGATATTTTTAACAAATTATTTGATATTTTTTTACCGAAAGGTATTTATGAATGGGAATAAATATGTGCTCGGTCGGTATTTATCACTCTATTTAAGACCGCTTAGAGTCTGGGTGCTGATAATTACCCTCGCCTCCGCTCAGCACCCAGACTCTAAGTGGTCTTAAACAGAGTGATAAAAACCTCCGGAGCACACATTTATTCCCTCATTATATACATACCGCAAACTCCCCTTGTCCCGATGCTGTGTTTGGACGATGGAATCTGGTTACCACAGCGGTCCGTGCACCAACAAACGGACCCCCTACACTGCGTGTGATGGTAGAATCCGTTGGCGTGGCAACGGGGCTTAAATTTACCGAACCTCATCCCGGTGCCGGTGGCGCTTGCCAATTCCTTTGTACAGGGAGGGTCATCCGGCTCTGAATTGATGGGGGGAAAAAATGTGAAGACTCGATACAATATTTCTGGAGGTCGTGGGTTCGAGTCCCACCCCAGTCAATCTCTTTTCAAAACCTAATGGATGCAACCCTGAAAATAAATTCCCATAGACACTAGTGCTAAATGCCCATACTTCAAAATTCTTTTAAAATTACTCAGAACTCTCACAGGTATTCAAGCTGCACAGAAAAATGATGATCAACATGTCATCTTTCGTTTTCTTTTCATTTTTTGGTGGGTTGACCATTGACTTTTCGAGATATTCTCACCCAAAGAAGACGACCCCTATTTTCCCCAAAGCGGAAAAGTAGCCATCTTGAAAAACGATCCCTCCACAACATGGCAAAATAGCGCCATTTTCGAGCCCAATAGCATCCAAAATGCTCAGAATTGGAAGCCCTAAGTCCGGGCCAGAGGTTCATTACCATATCTCTTCAATTCCCCAATTTTACGGCGCTCAGAACTCTCTAATAAATATTTTGAGGGTATAACTTTTATTCATGAGCTTGGCGGATGGATTTAGGACTATTTACCGGTGTGCACCCTAATGGGCTCCATGTACAAGCACCCCCTCAATGGCAGGGCTGTCCCAAAAATACCGAATAATCGATCAAGTAACCAAATATTCGAATAGCTTAGTTGGATCAAAATATAGTTCCCCGGACTACCCTGCTAAATCCAACAGAGTCTGACAGTTACTCAATGAGTTTCCTGCTCAATCCAACACAGTCTAACACAATCCAACTTGCCAAGTTGTTGGGTACCTGACAATATACAATGACTGGCGTGCTCATTCCAACAGAATCCAATTGTGGCTTATTTTTCTGTTTGCTGCTGGATCCAACAGAGTCCAACTTGGCGTTATTTACCAGCGCCCAACAGAATCCGACTCTGAATGTTTTCAGTTGCCTGCTGAATCCAACAGATTTCAACAGGAATATATACAAGGGGTTTACAGCTCAATCCAACAGGACCAGGCAGGTATGTAAAATAGTTGGATCCTGTTGGATTGAGCAGGGTTAGAGTTAACCAAATATTCAAACAGAATAGACGTTTTTGGGCTCTCCTAGTCTTGATCCAAGTCTCGATTTGTTTTCTATTCCTTCAATACAGCCGGACCCCGGCATGCACAGTCAAGCTAATGCAGCAGTAGTACATGTATGAACAAGATAATCAAAAGTTTGGGAACTTCGGCATCGCTACCCGGGAAATTCAATGCCAACAACCCAGATCATCATTAGCTTGAATACAGCACGCGTGAGGAATGCGCGGGATTTCCCGGGTAACGTTGCCGAAGTTCTCAAGACTAGCTTGGAGTCTTTTTTTGTTGACAGCAACTGCTATCGCTGCATTGGCTTGCCCACGCTTTCCAGGACCGGCTGTTAATGGGATTAAAAAAAATAATTCCAGACTGGAACTAAGACTACGGCTCTTCCAGCTTATTCGTCACTTACCACAGACGATATCCGGTCCGCCTTTGGTTTCCATGAACGGGTCACCGCAGCGAGACACGCACCAACACAAGGTGCGGTCAGCGTTGCACTGCTTGGGGACGTGGAAGCCAGACTCATCGCAGTCAGGCAGGACATCCCAAGGTTCGGCCGCATTGACTTCTAACTGACATGGTGGCACAGGACCTGAGAACCAACAAAATTCCACAGTTAATTTTCTGTTCAATAGAGCGTGGAAGTAAAAGGTCATGCGATGAGCTTCTGGAACTATGGTTCGGCCCACCTATGGGCATTTTACCCCGGCTTGCCCTTTCTCTTGCTATAATTTTTGAAAGGATGATTTCTCAACCATAATCACCTCAAAAAACCTTCATGTGTTTGTTCCTAGTTCTCCTTGTTCATTCACCTTTGTTTTCACACCGTGTTCTTGCGTGAGAAAGAAAATGTATACTGACGTAAACAGCCAATGGATTCTAGATTTAGTCGGGCTGGCTTGAATGCAGTCCTTATCAGGGGTCATTTTAGATTATTTTGTAAATGCTAATGAGTCCTTCAAGTTTATTCCAAAACAACTGAATAATTCTTAAAGACATCTTAGTCTCCTATTTAACTTTCAGTGTTCGCCCGATAACCGCCATAAAATTATTTCATAAATTATCATCTTTGTACGAGTGCTCTGAGTTCCACCAGTCCACACGTATGTTAGATTTTCAGAAGTGAGAGGTCATTTTGGGGCACGATATTTCTCTTGCATGTCATGGGATTTTTCAGTTTCCATAAATTGAGAAACTAGTAACAATTTTACAAAGGCCTCTTCCGAGGGTGATTTTTTTGAGAAATCAATGCACCAATGTAATTGCAATTTTTTTAATTTTCGCATGTTAATTTTCTGTTCATGGCTCCTGGAAGTGCCCAACATTTTGAGTTGATTTTGCACCTCTTACAATGTCTTATGTGTCTTAAAAGCCAAAACTGACAATCCACCTAAATATAAAGATGAGAGTTGCTTTTTAAAAATTGGATCTGAAAATTGGATGAAAGGTCTGAAAGATGCATTCCTCTCTATACTGATAATGTCTTTATCTCAGATTCAAAAAGTCTGATTTCAGACAAAAGTCTCAAAAATCATTATGGCAATTACACTAACTTTGTAAAGTAATCATTCCATGAACTAAACATGGGAAGATTGTTTTGGTTTGGAGTCTGATTCTAAAGTGTAAATAGTTTCCATTTGGTTTTAATCCCTTTTTTAATAATTGTCTTCTTTAATGGTTAGCAATTGGCCTTACATAATTCATTGTGATGTCGGCAACCATTTTCTCTTTTTGATTATTGTTGATGTACCCTAAAGTGGCGCGGTCCCCAACGTGGCGCACTTTGATTTTCCCCCTGTTGCGCCTACCTAGAGCAAAAGTTTTAACTGAAATTTCACAGAAAGGGAAATTTCATCAAGTTCTAAACACTCCTGTTCATAAATCGCAAGTATATTTACCCGTAACAAAGTTAGAAGAAAAGTTTATTTTGGCCTGATTTTCCCATTTTATTTTCAAGTGCAAAGTGAACCCTTTGAAAATGCCCCGAAAAATAAGAAAATAATTTTCTGACAAACACATCTGGCTGGGCATGTAAGTAGAGATAATAATAATTTATCAGAATTTATCAAGTTTATATACAGAAATTCTTAAATGTTAATTTGGAATTTGCCGAGATTCATTCAAGTGCACCACGTTAGGGAACACCCCACCAATTTGTGCCCAATTTCTGGACGCCACCGCTTTTGAATTTCGGATTAAATTTTATGAAACCAAAATTGTTCACAGAGGTTAAATAGCAAGCATTAATAAGGTAAAAGTACCAGTTTTACTGCATGAATTTGAGGTTTGTCAACAAAGAGGTTTGGCAACACTACACGAGGAAAGTCGGGTAAGCTTCGAAGTGCGCCACGTTAGGGAACAAGACTACATAGCATTTACTGTATCATGGAGCTATGACTGTATTAAATAACCGCATAATTTATTTCAAGTTTTTCAGATTTTGATCTTGCAACCAATATTTAGGGCCTACCTGCCCATTCCTCCTCAGGCTCAGGTATCTGTTCAAATGAAGGCAAAGAAAACCAAAGAAAATGTTGGTACATGATAAGGAACACAGTCATTGGGGTTTTAAATTTAATTCTGAATATTGAATGGTTTGGGGGAAAAAAATTTTCAACATCCTGATGCCACTTCTTTTAAAATCTCAATGAAGGTCAGTCATTGCAAAAATGTTGGAAAGACATGAATGTGGGACTGAGAAACGTTTCCAATTTTGTTAGACCAGCCATGGAGCTATAAAAAGAACAATACAGAAAGAATGTTGCAACCTGACACCACCTTTTTCTTCATCATTTCTATGAGTATGAAGACATGAATCTGAGAAATATTTCAAATTTTGTTAGGAAATACTTAAAAAATGTTCTTGACTGGCATTTTTCATGTCACAACCGCCGCGCTGAAGTGAAGTGGCGTCTCGATTTATTATTTCCAATTTGAATGTCAATGTCATTCAGCTGTTTCCTTTCCACTACACGCACAGCCTTAATACAAAACATAAAATTAGAAAAACAGAGGAAAATAATGACTTTACTTAACCTAAAATTCAGGCCGTCAAATTTCAAGTTATCCGCGCCGCTGGCGTTGGATCAGATGTTTTGGTTTTTAGAAATAGGACGCCACCACTTGGCGATAAATGCGCAGTGAAGCAAGACTGTTTCAGAATTTTTCAGTTTCTTGTAGCCTTGGTCAAGGCGCTAAATGTTATTCATCCCGGCCGTGGCGCGTAAACGATGACTGCATGCATAAATATTTATACAACTTGCCACATATACATGTATTCTGGGGGAAATTCAAATCATGAATTACTGTAGGTAAAAAAAAAAGGCTCCGGTTTCTGGTATGGAGCTTGCCAAAAAAGTGGTGCGGCGACGCGGCCTTTTTTTTTTACCTGATTTTGTTTTGCTTCAAATGTCGGCTGATGACTGCAAATGGTGCCCGACTAAACTTAGTGTAAATATATGGGAGTCCAGAGAGGCCACATAAAGCTTATTCTCGATCATAACCCCATCTAAACACGTTAAAACTGTGCAGCAGCATGATTCCAGTCAAACCAGTGAGTTTGGTGGTTTTGAAACATCATCTTTTATTGGCCTTACCGCGCTACGGCCGGATAAAAAACAACTAGCGCCTTGACCTAGGCTAAGTATCTTGAGACTTTCGCCCGGGTGTAAACTGTTAAGGCCCAGTTAAGTCTGTTTTTCCCCTCAGGTTTCTGGTCTGTTTTTGGCGAGACTTTGTAAGGGTCTGTAATCTCAAGATATAAGAACAGTTATATTTAGAATTTCGTTTGAAAGTCGGGGTTCAACATTTTTAGAGCGCTTAACTAAAGAAGAAAATCAAAGTAATTAAACATTCAACACATTTTTACGTACCTCAAATTGTCCGTTGGATGAGGACGCCACACCCAAAACCACCAGCAAGAACAGAGTCTTCATAGTCTCGGATCTGACTTGTCGACTCTCCAAAAGAAAAACTGTCCGAATAAAAAAATGTATAACAAAACTGACATTTACACTGTAGAGACCCTCTTATCAATGGGCCTATAGCCTTGACAGTGTTTTTGAACTTTTAAAGTCAAAAGTCCAAACACAGATTTTGTTTGTTAACAAGATTAAGCCATGACTCTGTACTCTTCCTGTCTCGAATCTTAAAAGTAAATATCAAAGTTTACAAAATGATAATTGAACTTTTTTTCTTGCAAAAAGTAATATACTTACCTGTGTTTTGGAAATTTCGGAAAACTGAATTGTGGTTAAAAAGTAGAAGCAATTCAGTCATTGACTTCAGTTTGATTTAGCGAGGAACACTCCCAAGGATTTTCGCCAAAACTGATTTCTACATTATCATTTTCCTCCTTTATTTTATTGAATAATTACATCGAAACCTGCGAGTTAATAGACCGATCCATTTAGACCCCGCCCACTACGCGCGTGGGCAACATCACGTGTAAGTTCCCCAATGCATGTATGCAGCACTTGCATGATAGCAGCGCGAGTCATACGCGCGTGCACGCATTTGTCGATCATTAATCGCAGCCGTGATTGGTCAATACCATTGGGCGGGGCTTAATTGACCTATCTATTATTCCAAGAGGTATTCCTTTGCCAACAGTGCACCTCTTACGTCAAAACAACTTCTAATGATAAAAACAACACGTGTTCAATTCCTGCGGGACGTAAACAATGCCCTGTTCCTAATTCGTCCCTCCCCAGTGTTTACTCTGACTAAAGGGTCAAGGAGAGTGGTTAAAACTTATTGACTAATTCCAACCTTTTGGCTTCAGTCCAAACATCGTATCATCATTGGTTTCCACGAATATCAATTTATCCACGAAACAGCTGTTGGGAATATTACACTTACCTTGTCAAACACAATAGTGGCAGAGTGCCCAGAAATCAACCAAACCAGAAAGTGGGAACTTTTCTGCAATAGTCGTGTACCTTCTGTCGAACTTGCATTCGCTGCAATAAAAAAGAAAACAAAAACTTGCGTTCCAGTGTCGTCAGGTGTATAAAATTGGGACGAATCCAAGGTTAGGTGGCCGCCTGATCCCCCCCCCCCCTCCCCACGCAGGCTCGATTTTGTCAATGCTCGATTGTTCAAATTGAAAACAAAAACCAAAAAACAAAAAAAACTTTAAACTCGCCAACTCAATAGTTGCTGATGATTGGTTGCTAATTCAGGACGTGCGTTGGATTCAATGTTCACACCCTTGACAAATATTGGACTCAACCCCCCCCCCCCTCCCCCGAAAGTTCGCCACTGTGTATAATGATAAAAAAAACAAAGAAACTAAGTTAAACGTGGCTTGAATGTTTAGAACAAAATAATTGGCAAACATACAATCGGTACATTTTGTTGTTATATTAAAATATCTCGAATCATGATTGACTCGGAGTATTAATATCGCAACGTTGATATTAATCTAGATTTTTGAATTCACAATTCGTGTTTTTGTAAGTTTTGCAATGCCCAATCCAGACCAAGCAATACTCATAAAACTTTTGATAAATGTCCTCTATTGTGAAATTTTATTACCATAGGTTTTCGTTTCAAAAAGGGGTTCCCCACAAATTTATGATTTCCAATCGACGGTGCACTTACCTGCCCCGAAACGTCTCACGTCTGAATCTCCTTTCAAATAAACTGTCTAAAATGTTGCTTGATATACGTCAGTGCATTTGGAGACTGATCGTAAATAGTTGTTTGTTTGTTTTTCAGACAGGATTATCATATTTTATCTTTTAGAATTTGCACCGCTTTGTGCGATTCCGATAACTTGTGGACCAACTCACTTGGTGGCGGGGGTGGTCATAATTTGATTGACCGCAATCTGCTTGATACACATGCGTAGGTATCAAGAAAAGTGATGCCACTCACAATTTCAGGGCGCAAAGTCCCTACCTCAACGCGTAGGTTGGAGCAACCCTTAGACACATTTTCTTCACAAACATTACAATGAAAACAATACTACGCCAGTTTCCCTCCTGATGTCAATAGACATCAAAGGACTTCAAAAAATTAATGTAGCGAACTTTACTCCCTAACAAAGTAATAAATGGATGAAAAGCCAACCACTATTTGTTTTCTTCTAGGTTTGCACTGAATCGTGCGGTGCAGGAGTTAGATGAAAAATGGAATGCACTATTATGCCTCCTCCCCCCCCCCCCCCCACCACCATATTTGTTTTGTCGGCAAATTCGTGTTCTTGTCCGAGCAAAGATCGTCCGCTTTGAACAGCGCCACCTATACATGATAAAGTTCCTTCCAACTCCACTCCCCCCCCCCCCTCCTTTGTAAGCTCTGGAAGAAGCTTCTCCATGTCACTTGGTGGTCGGTCAGCCCGTCTGTACGTCTGCATGTTCCTTGAAAATTTACCCAAAAAATGCCCCCAAGTTTCCCATAAAATATAACTAAAAAAAAAGAGGTTTATGAAAAGATTGTAAACGGAGGCAAAATATGTGCAGTTATGTTATGGTCACGTGGTATTTATCACAAATCGCTAAATCTAGGTTAGAGTGGTGTTCCATAATGTGCAATCAGGGTCGCATTTTTGGGTGTCGCATTTTTAAGCTCCGGCGGGGATCCTTTTCACAGATTTCATGCAAGACTTTTATGTAAGACGGCCAGAGCTTATTGTGTACTCGCACGTTCGGCAAATTTCTTGCCCCCCCCCCCCCCTTCAAAATCGGTCGAGGGACGCCACGAATCTGTACGAAAGCCCATTAGCGCCACTGCAAGTATATATGTTACAGATTGTGTAATTCGTTATTACGGATTATTAATTCGTTATTACGGATTATTTAATTCGTTATTACGGATTATTAATTCGTTATTACGAATTAGGTCTGATGTTCTCACACGTGGAGAGCACGTGACCAGGGGCCTGTGTATATAGCGCCGCTAGGCGGCGCTATCTTTGCATACAACGTTTGCACTCCTGTGCCATACTTGCCGAGTAATGACTCAGAACGTATGAGTAATTCGTAATAACGAATTAATAATCCGTAATAACGAATTAAATAATCCGTAATAACGAATTAATAATCCGTAATAACGAATTAAATAATCCGTTATAACGAATTAGTAATCCGTAATAACGAATTAAATAATCCGTAATAACGAATTAATAATCCGTAATAACGAATTAATAATCCGTAATAACGAATTAAATAATCCGTTATAACGAATTAGTAATCCGTAATAACGAATTAAATAATCCGTAATAACGAATTAATAATCCGTTATAACGAATTAGTAATCCGTAATAACGAATTAAATAATCCGTTATAACGAATTAGTAATCCGTAATAACGAATTAAATAATCCGCAATAACGAATTAATAATCCGTAATAACGAATTAAATAATCCGCAACATATATACTTGCAGTGGCGCTAATGGGCTTTCGTAAATCTGTGTACCCTGCAAGAAATGAATTATGGACCGATCCAGTAAGCCCTGCCCACTGCGTACTGAGCAAATTAACACGTGCAAATGCCACACTGCATTTTCCTGCCGCGCGCATCATACGCGCGCGCACGCATGTCGGACTTTTCTGCACGCACGTCGGACATAAATGACGGCTGTGATTGGTCAGAACACCATAGGGCGGTGCTTACTGGTTCGGTTCATTGTCGGGCCGCGATATCTTGAAGTTGCCAAGTGATTAATCATTCCATGACAGGCATGACTTAACTTGTTCTGAAATTTTCCGTCGATGTCTCATTAAAAAGTGAATAACTTTTGTATTGCCAGAAAAAAAATTGAAAACAAAATCTTTCTTTTCGGGGTGAAAACTCAAAAACAGCACGGACAGTAGACAAATTACTGGATGTAAAATGAATTTGCATGAAGTCAATGCATAATGTTTTTCACGAATTTTTATTTAAACAAATATTGAAAAACTTTGCTTTCTTCCCTTTTTACCTTAAAAGTTGAAGCCATTTTCCAGTTTTCCCCAATGCAATACACTCAGCTGTGAACCAGGGTTTTTTTTATCATTCTTTGTATTATTTGATTATGATATGAATATACCTAGCTTAAACCGATTTATACAAACAAAAACATGACTTCTAGGTTAATTACCATTAATACATTCATTAGTTTATTGAAATTGGGAAATTATTATTATTATTTTTATTATTACTTTTACATACACTGTGATGTTAATCACTTAAAATCCAGCTGTATTAATCATTCATACGAGCCCTGGTATAATAAATTCCGAGTACATTACATTCATTGTTACAATTTGGCATATACTAATCATTATCAATACATCTTGCACTTTTTTGTTCTGGGTTAACTGTTATTAAATTATCTAACAAACAATTGAAATTTCCATGCGGAGAAAGATCGCCTTAAAGGCTTAAAGATTTTAAAGAATAACACAGTAATACTACGTAAACTAAATTAGAGTTAGGCGAAGTAAAAAAAAAATGAGTCTCTGCGTCCACTCGCTTCCTTTTCCCGCAAGCCTTCATTTTTTTAAAATCATAGTTTTGCGATAATAGTTTAATTTTTATTCATTTTCAACAAAATTATAGTGAAGTATGCAAGTTCAAAATCTGGTAGAAAGCGGGACAGCTCCTTTCTACACAAAAAATATCAAAAATATATCAGCAAACGAGTTGAGAAAATAGTAGAATCCGTGTTCTATCTTGGAAATGGTAGAATCCACAGGCCATCTTGGAAATGGTACAATCCACAGGCCATCTTGGAAATGGTACAATCCATTCGCCATCTTGGAAATGGTACAATCCACCCGCCATCTTGGAAATGGTACAATCCACCCGCCATCTTGGAAAGGGTACAATCCACAGGCCATCTTGGAAATGGTACAATCCACAAGCCATCTTGGAAATGGTACAATCCACAGGCCATCTTGGAAATGGTACAATCCACAGGCCATCTTGGAAATGGTACAATCCATTCGCCATCTTGAAAATGGTACAATCCACAGGCCATCTTGGAATTTTTTGGATTTTTTTTTTCAAAAAAGAAAGGCCGCCGTCTTCATTTCTTCAAAAAACCCAGACGAGAAACTATTTTTTTTTTTCACTTTGCCTTATAACAATTATAAGTGAATCTGAAAAGAACTCTGAACTTTGAAGTCAACATAAATTGGAACAAAACATTAACGAGAAATTAAGAAATATGTAACTTAGTTACTTCCTTAATAAACAAAATTAATCAATTTTTTTTTCATTACATGCAGGTTTTAAAGAAATTCATTCATGCGATTATTGGACATTTAAGTTCTTTCACTCAATCATATTTTTTAAAAAAGCTTCTAATTTATTTATAAACCAGAGATAGAGGCGAACCTGGAGATGAAGGCCAGGTTTCTTAAACATCCTGTGAAACTTTCAATGGCGCTAATCAACCAAAACAGTCTGGTGCTGAACACGTCAAGAGCCCTTCCACTGATTGTTAAGGTTTGGCTTCAGGGAATCAGACAAAGATGGCTGAAACTGAGTACTCTATACTAATGAGCAAGGCAAGATGTATCTACGTACTGCACATATTTACAAAAATTACGGATGCATAATTATGTTAATTTCTTGAAAATCTACCTTACCAAGATCACTCATTATTTGGGTGATTAGCTCTCAAACGACTCCTAAACACAAATTTCAAGTATTAAATGTCTAAGAGGCATTAGCTCTAAACTTGTCCCTCTTTTGACAGATTCTTTTACTTTCACCGTGAACTAGCCACCGAAGAACAATCACCATACATTAAATTTATATCAATTTCACAAAGACAATGACAAAAATGGACTATTGCTATAAAACGCTCACTCCTTGAAATAAAGTGGGTTTTTTTCTACTAAATTCTCAAATTTCAATCAAAGAATTTTCTGAGCGAACAAAATATCAAAGATTGAACAATTAGCTACATGTAATTAGAAGCAAGTCAAAAATAGTTTTTGGTTTGTTCTTTCACTCATCCCACAAGTTTAAATACATCCTATAAAATGCAGCTATTTTGCCCGATAATGTTTTCTGTTAGATAAAAACGAAGCTATAAACAGCACTATAAAATCTACTTTATGAACATTAATTTTTTTTAGTTCTCAATCTACATATGATCTGCAGTGTGTTACTTAACACTCCATGTAGTATTTTCAATTTGTACCACGCCTGAATAAATCCCCATCAGCTGATTGGTGGGTCGTTGATCACATGCCGTTGAATTATTCATTCCAACCTACAGCTCAGCCGCACAGCAAAAATATAAGTTTTTATCCAACGGTAAATAGAAGTTCCATTGCACGGTCACACTTTCACCAATCAGATGACGAGGATTTATTCAATTTCAGGCGATGTATTGTACAAGTAATGCATTTTTATGAGTGCAATGGCGAGAATAATTTCATGAGGTAACAGACGGACTGTTCCACTCCATGAGACAAATGGACCATTCCATCTGTCACATTATAATATTATTCTTACCACTGCACTCATAAACTTTCATTACTTGTCTTTAATGTAGTTAATTTTCTGTCTTTAGATAATCTGACAATCTATATAGGCCACTGTACCCCACTGCAGCAATGTATGAAAATGAAAAGGCCGTGCACATCAGCCAAAGAATTACCAAACAAACTTTTTCAAGACAAAAATATTTTAAAAATATAGAGTTTTCAAACATGCTACTCCATTGAGCATGCAAGCACATATTGAATACAAATAAGTAATTAATAATATAATGTAATGGGGGGGGGAGGCACCACCATTGAAATACTCGTACTGAATGAAATCATACAAGCAAGCTCGGTGGCCGAGTGGTAAGACGCCTGCACTAGTAAGCAGGTGGTCGTGGGTTCGAGTCCCACCCGAGTATTAGCTTATGAATTTGTTTTCTCATAATCACCAAGGACAACATCGAGTAATGCAAAATACACCGCAACGAGCAAAAATCCAAAGTTGAATTTACATCACTCCGATACAAAATTCCATCTTACGAACAAAATGAAACCCCCAAATATACATGCATTACCGTTTACTTCTAATTCTTCCCCCTTAAAATCTTGACGAGAATAATTTCCCATCAAGTTGCATTAATCCAATAACGCGTTGCATTAATACTGTACAGCCTCAATGAGATTAAGAATCTGTTGCAAATTCTGCGGGAAGTTAACAATCAACTGCACAGAAAGAAGACTTTAAAAACAAAAACAAATGGTTAAACATGAAAACGTAACTCGAACATCTAATTATAGAATACATGTACGAATATTAGCCATAATACAATACTGAAAACGAGAAAATAAACTCACAAAATTTCCCGCAGAACAAAAAATGTGAACTGCTCCAGTAAAACTTGACGATTTTCAAGATTTTCCATTACGTGTGAGATAAGATCAAATATTGAAATCATCAAATATTTCGAAATCTGATTAAACCGGAGTTAAAGTATTTCTTCTGTTTCTTTTCTGACGACATCATAGATATGCTTTAAAGGAAATATACAACATTTGCAACCATCAAAAAACACAAAACTGCCGAATTAGTATCAAATACCTTACTGGACTGTTGGTTAATGACAGTCTAAAGCATCCTGTAAAATTATGGCACCTGGTGTGCCGACATTTTCACGAAACATGGTATTTTTGTATCAATTTCCAATGCTGGTCGGCCGACCAGCGTTGGAAAAAACCTGGCTTTTTTTTTTCAAATAGTGCACCCAATTTACTATATTTAGTTAGTCCGCATTCTGTTTGCAATCGATTACACACCTGTGAACGGGTACAAGCCAGCTAGGCTGGTTCCCTGACCTTACAATTCCCCAACGCCTATAAATTGCTCCGTTTCATCATGAGTGGTGTCAGGGAACCAGACTACAAGACCATGATTGTTTTTCTTGGTTTTTCCAGCATCTACCGTACACAAAACTTCAAACAAGTCAGTGTAACAATATTTGCTATAAAATAACCACCAAATCCATCATTTTCTGATAATTACAGCAAAAGCAAATGTTGTATATTCCCTTTAATCTAACAGGCTTAAAATCTCATATATTTTGTTAATGTTTCATTAAGTTTCTAACTTTTGCTGGAGCTGGTAACGAATAACAAAAAATACGCATAACGCGATAGAGACTTGAAGAAATAGTCAAACATGTACCAGTACACGTATTTAAGTACTTGTACATGTACACAGATTAGCATAGAATTTACATATATGCAGCAGAATATTCTTACATGTAAGAAAAATTTCGAGAAGGAACTTCTCAATGACAAAATATCACCGATACTTTCGTGTATAGCAAACAAAAAACAATATAAACAACGCAAAGTTTCAGAATTTTTGAAATTTTCAACCAATGGTGTACGCACAGCAAAACAATAAAATACGACGACAAACACATGAAGACAAAAATGTAACAACATAACACCTGTGATTTTGTATATTAATTCAGGTGTTGCAAGACTAGTGGTGTGCATTTACGGGTAGTGTGGCAACCGGGTACCCTACTGAAATAAACACGGGTACCCGGGTATACGTAAAAGACGGTCCTATCAAATTCCTTCGATTTTCAGGAACTCTAGTCCGTATTAATAAAACTTTAACAGTCCGAAGGGCGGTGTCCGAAGGCTTTATAGCTTTACGGTGTAAACTGCAACTTTCGCGAGCGTCATCTGTCGCGTGTTAAAACGCACACAGACGTGCTTTGGTTTTCCGTTTTAGCTTGGTTTTCATTTTCGAAAACTCCCCACAAATGGCGTTCAAAACCTTCCTTTTTCATTGTCTGAGAAGCTACTAAGTAATTTAAAAAGTTGGTTGCGGGTGCCCGATCCCATAATCCGGAACCGGTTCCTGACATCAGCGGTCGGGTACTCGGGTACCCGTTTCCAACACACACCCCTACGCAAAAGCTGCTTGACCAAAAAAAATTACAAAATAAGACGAACGATTAAGGACATACACAAAAGAGAATATTTTTTGTTTTTTTTAAAGGACCAACATCACAAAAATCATTCTATAATTGGGCACACACATCCATCTCTCCAAAAAGGCACTGTTTGCATCCTTAAAACAAAAATCACCCCCCAAAAAATGGAACAGGCATTGGACCTGATCACAGATCTGGACCAACTTTTAAAAAAAATCTTTTCAGTAAATACAAGACCCGAACCTCCCGTTGCAAAGATCCATCGTATCTCACACCCAATCCTTTGCAGACTGCGACTTTGCTCCAAACGCAACACACTGCTGTTGTTTCTATGGTGATGGCGGTCTTCAAAGAGGTGTATAATCCTGTTGATGATAGAAACACAAGCAAAATTAAAGCTATAGTCCATCATTTGCAGCCATCCGAAAAAGTAACTGGCGTATTATTGTTGAGAAACATACTTGGTTGAAAGATAGTAAGGGGACTAAACTCCCTGTGAAATTAATCTTTCTGGCAGGCTATCATTTTGGAGTAATCAACGAAAGATGGCCTTTCCAACGGTGCGTAAATCTAAATTAGTAGTTCGTTTTGCTATTCGGCGTAGCGCGCGCAAGCATTGGCACGACGCACAGGCGCGCGCGGTTGCTATAATTCATCGGATCAGTGCGCGACATCGCGTGTAGCTGCAATTCAAAACAATTCAAAACATGATTCAGCAACTTTTGATTTGAAATTGAGATCCTAGAATGCTGTTTTTCTGGGAATATACAGCTGAAGCTGAGCTGAAACTTCATCAGGTTAGTTGTTCAGTATCCTTCATTAGATTTTGAACACTTTTGTTGCTTCAAACGAACAAAATGCACAAATTACAAATGAGGGACTATATCTTTAACTACATGACAGTATAAAACACGTAATGGAAACACATTTTTTTGCACAGTTTTATGCTTGGAACTGAATTTACGATTATCCCGACGTGGAAAACACATTTTTTAACATGGAAATCTAGAGGTGGGAAATAATTTACAAATGTACTCACCCTGTCCCCTCTGTAGATGGGGTTCTTGGAAAAGGCCGACCAGCCACTTTCTTCTGTGTCTTCGTTCAAACGACCGTAGTTATTTCTCAGTTTGTGCCTAATGAAGGAAAATAAAAAAGTATATATTGTTGCATATGAGGTTCACTCCTGAATCCTGGAATTCTAAAATAATATTTCACATGCCAATATTGCATTTTATAACTAATAACAGAGGAAATGCTGGTTCAGTACAAAACAACGTTTCGTGGCACGCAACTTATAAGATTAAAGGCAGAGTAGATCATTTGCAGCTATCCAAAAGTAACCCACCAAATTATTGTGAAAAAAGTTACTTGGTTTAAAGGGAAAATACATGTACAACATTTGCAAACATCAAAAAATAAAACTACCAAATCATTTTGAAATACCTTGCTGGACTGTTAGTGAATGACAGTGTAAAGCATCCTGTAAAATCATGGCACCTGGTATACTGTCATTTTCAAGAAAAGTGGTATTTTTGTATCAATTTCCAACGCTGATCGGCCGATCAGCGTTGGAAACAACTGGCTTTTTTTTCAAATACTGGCCCCAATTGACCATCGCACTTGTTTGCAATCGTTTACAAACCTATGAACGGGTACGAGCCAGCTAGACTGGTTCCCTGACCTTACAATTCCCCAATGTATGTAAACTGCTGTTTCTTCTTATATGGAGTCAGGGAACCAGACTACAGGATAATGATCGTTTTTCTTGGTTTTTATGGCACTTTCGAACCCAAAACCTCAAAAAAGTCAGTGTAACTATATTTGCTATATATTTCCAACCCACCAATTCCATCCATTTCTGAAAATTACAGCAAAAGCAAATGATGTATATTCCCTTTAAAGACAGTAACGACACTACAATTCCCTGTGAAATTATTCCTTCTGGCATGCTGTCATTTCGAAGAAAACAGCAACAAAAAGTCATTTCCAAAGATGTGTCAAGAGACACATTTTTTTTTTTTTTTTTCAGGAAACTGTCCCCGTGCATTCTAAGTTGTAGGTCGATGGCAATTGGGTCAGTCTGTGAATGGGTGACAACGGCCTGAATGAGAATCATGTCCCGAATGCTGATTTCAAGATTGCGTCACAAGAGGGTGCAATATGACTCTGCAACTTAGTACTGAAATCAAGATCCAGAATACTGTGTAATGTTTGTTCTGTCTTCTCGAAATATACGGATTCACAGAGATAAAACTTGATCAGGTTAGTTGTTAAGCATCCGTCTTTAGATATTGAGCACTTTTGTTGGTTCCAACGAAAAAAATGCACAAATTATAAATGGCCCACTCTACCTTGAAAATCACTCGGTTGACGTTATTCATCATCTTTTGAGACCACTCACATTTTTCGAACTTATGAATACATTTGGAAAAAATGCTAATCAGATATTCAGTTAACCCAAACAGAACTCAACCCATCAAACCCCAATGGCATTTTTGTTGGAATCTGTCAGGATGGGTACAGTACCCCTAAACTGACAGTCTTTTACATTGGGTTGGGCACACCTCCAGAATCAAAGTCAGAGATATGTGTGTGCAGTTTCCAATATGGTGTTGGAATTTGCCAGGATGGGTATGGTTCCTAGTAATTAAATCATGCTAGGGAGTTAGGGTTAATAACCGAAAAATTTGAACAATCGGTATATTCTGCACTGCACTAAAATTGCTTGAGTGGCTTTGTTGCCTGTTGCAACACGGCATGACGTCACGGTCTAGAAAAGCGAAACTTGTGTCGCGTACTTACCGCCTGTAGACAAAGAATGCCGCAATCAGCCCGAGGACAATGACAACGCAAACCACTACGGCAACGATGGCGCCCGTGGAATTGGAGCCAGGGTTTTTAGGGTCCTTGTCCGGGCCACCGGTGGGGGTCTGTGGAGTGGGTGTCGCTGAGGGGTACGCCGTCGGTTTCGGGGATGGTGCTGCGGTCGCTGTCGGAGTCGGTACTGCCGTTGATGGTGGAGAAGGTGGTGCTGTTGATGGTAGAGGTGCTGCAGTTGTTTGGGGTGCTGAAGCTGTTGGGGGTGCTGAAGCTGTCGGGGGTGCAGCAGTTTTTGACGGAGCCACTGTTGCTGTGGATGGTGTAAGTGGTGCCGCTGTTGGTGTTGGTGTTGGTACTTCTGTGGATGCCGGAGGGGGTGTGGCCGTTGCGGGCGGCGTCACCGCTGCAGTTGTTGGGACAGAAGGAACTGCTGTTGATGCCAAAGAGGGTGTCGGCGTTGATGATGGATTCGGCGCAGCAGTTGTCGGTGTCCCTGTTGGTGTTGGTGTTGCTGATGTAGCCGGTGATGCTGCTGTTGATGGGGTCGGTGTGGGTACCTCTGTTGTTGGTTGCGGGGGCGTTGCCGTTGTTGGCACAGTCGGTGCCGCTGGAGTTGGTGTTGGTACCTCTGAAGATGGTACTTGAGGTGCCGCAGATGCCGCTGCGGTAGGTCCCGCTGTTGTCGGCACTTGGGGCGCTGCTGTCGCAGGCGGATCCGTTGCCGCTGCTCCGGGCGAAGTCGGTGCCGCCGTTTCGGGTGGATTTGGCGGTTGTGTAACCATTGCCGATGGAGTCGGTACCTCTGCTTTTGGAGTCTGTGCCGCAACGGTCGGGTTCGGCGCTGGATTAGGTGCCGTTGTCGGTATTGCTGCTTCTGATGTACCAGCCGGTGCAGGCGTTACAGTGGGTGGCTTTGTTGGCGGTTGAGTCGTCTGCGCAGCTCCCCTCGAGGAAACTAGTAAAATCAAAATCAAAACACGGTAACATTTTCCCAACATGTATTGACGCTTGTTAGTACTTGCCGCAATAGTGAACATCAACACAAATTTATGACACCACAACAAGTATTCGCTCTGTGCAATTGCCATTTCAGTTGAGCAGGTACAGGGTGAGTAAAAAAAAGCAGAACCCAAACCCCAACAATTATATTTCATATTTAAACAAAATATGTAATAATGACTACTTTTAGATGAAAAAATTACTGAAATTGCTCAATCCGTTCAAAGAATATCACCTTTCAAACACTATGACCATAAAACCTGTCTCGTCCAAAAATGCGATTTCAAGAATCGTCGTCACAATTGTCTTCAAACATCACCAGCGATAAAACCTCAGTTTAAAAGATAGAAATATTCAACAAAGTCCTTTTGAAGGCCCGTCTTTTACAAAGAGTGGATTTTATAAATCATATTGTTTGCCTAACCAGGGTTGTTTATAAAGATATTGTGTACTACAGTTGTTGAAAGTTGTTGAAACAGTATTTTGTGTCATTTTCTTTGTTGTTCCAAACAGTCAAAACACACAATTTTTTTTTTTGGGACGAGACAGGTTTTTGGTCATTACGTTGAAAAGGTGATATTCTTTGAAGGGATTGATCAATTTCAGTAATTTTTACATCAAAAAGTAGCTAATGAAATTGGCTTTCCAGTCATTATTATTTTTGGTGCTACATTTTTTTACATATGAAATCTGTTTTGGGGGGTTTGGGTTCTGCTTTTTTTTTACTCACTCTGTATGAACTCGGGAATACTACAAGCTCCCGTTTCAAATTTCCAAATAAATCTGCCTTCATCAGTCAATGCAATGACATGATTTTATTAGTGGAACTCCATCAAAATTTATCAGATGGGTTGGGGACCGTTTCTGTGGCAAACTTTGAGGAAACACTTACCAGCTATTAAGAGCAAGCACACGCATGCTGTTGGAAACCTCATCTCTAATGGCTACGTTTAGGGCACGTAGGGACAAAACAAGATGTCTTCCGTGTCCTGCGGAACGGAGCTCCCAAGATGTTTTGTGGTAAATGGAGTGATAATCTGCTTCAAAGTCGAGTCAAGGACGTGTACGCACGCAGTAACTGTGGGCAAAAAAAGAAAGAAATGGAACTCAATTGAAAAGTCAGGATTTTCATCTACCTAACAATGAGTCTCTAAAGCTACAGTCCATCATTTGCAGCTATCCAAAAAGTAACTGACGTAATCATTGTTGAAAAACATACTTGGTGGAAAGATAGTAAGGGGACTAAACTCCCTGTGAAATTATTCTTTCTGGAATGCTGTCATTTTGAAGAAATCAACGAAAGAAGGCCTTTCCAACGATGCGTCTACAGACGCACCGTTGGAAATTTCCGTTAGTACACTGTAGTTCATTTTATTCTTTTCAGCGAAGGTGCGCAAGTGTTGACACGACGCACACGTGTGCGCGGATGCTTTAATTCGTCGGATCAGTGCGCGACATCGGATGCTGAATTCAGGCCCAATTTAAAACACGATTCAGCAACTTTTGATTTGAAATCGAGATCCTAGAATGCTGTTTTTCTCGAAATATACAGCTGAAGCTGAGCTAAAACTTAATCAGGTTAGTTGTTCAGCACCCTTCTTTAGATCTTGAGCACGTTTGTTGCCTCAAATGAACAAAATGCACAAATTACAAATGATGGACTGCACTTTTAAGCAGTTAATGTTCTCTACTGCATATGCAAAACCTAAAAGTAAAAGCAAATCCTGAAGCTGTTAAGACTCATTTTGTGCAAACTAGTCGCATGTTAAATCTTCTGGAGCTGAAACGAGAGCCAAAGTATAAGTTCTGGGAATCCCTTAAAAGAATTAGGGGATTTTGATGGATTAAGGACAACAAGCGGTGCTGCAGGATTTTGATGGATTCAGGATACCTCCACATTGAGTAGTTAGGGTACTTTGATGGATTCAGGATCTCAACACTTTTAACTCCTTGGCTATACATGTATGTTTGGTCTGTACATTTGTGTGAGGTATATGTACGATACTACACTGGTGGATTTTGATGGACTCACTGGCGGGTTCTGATTGACTCAGGACACCAACATTTTTTTTGCATGAACAAATTGGTGGATTTGGGGGAATTCAGGATACTTCCCAGTAAAAGTGCTCGAGGGGTTAGGGTTAATGGTGGCCGATTTCTCACAAGTTTGACATTTTACAGAACGAAGCAGTTTCTGTACTTTCCTACAAAAAAAATCTACCAGTGTTGTGAATAATTTATTACATACACCTGTACATACCGGTATATGTACAGGTTGGACCCTATACCATGAAAGGTCTTGTACAGTGTACAAATACTGTCAACAGTTAAATTTTATATACATGGTTTATGAGCTTCAGAATATGAGAATATTAAAGGGCATGTACATCATTGGCTTTTGCTTTAATTTTCAGAAATGAACTATTTGAGGGGTTAGTATAATAGATCAAATATTGTTACACTGACATGTTTGAAGTTTTGTGTTCGAAAATGCTGGAAAAACCAAGAAAAACAAAAATGTTCAAGTAGTCTGGTTCCTTGACTCCACTAAAGATAAAATGGATCAATTTATAGATGCCGGAAAATTGTAAGGTAAGGGAACCAGTCTAGCTGGCCTGCACCCGTTCATGAACATGTAACCAATAGCAAACAAAATTTGGACTGAAAAAAGTGTACAGTTGGAGCAGTAGTTGAAAAATAGTTAGGTTTTTCCAACGGTGGTCGGCCGACCACCGTTGGAAATGTATACCAAAATACAATTTTCTTTAAAATGACTTCACACCAGGTGCCATAATTTTACAGGATGCTTTAGACTGTCATTTACCAACATCCTAGTAAGGTATTTCGTAAAAACTTGGAAGTTTTATTTTTCGATGTTTGCAAATGTTGTATATTCCCTTTAAGTCAAGGTTTAACCTGTAAATTGTTGATTTACATTTGAGCGGCGCGACATATAACCTTAAGAAATAAATTTCTTATAAATATTTATACAACTTGCCACATATACATACACATGTATTCTGGGGGAAATTAAAATCATGAATTAGGGCCTTCCACTTACTCAAATATTCAGTTGGGGAAAATGTTAATGTATGCACTATCCATGTGTAAACTATATTTTTTTGAATAACTAACTAGTTTTTAATGTCCTGTAATTTGTATTGTTTTAATCCAGGGCCCCCAGGGAGAACAGTTCTTAGATAACTGATGGGGCTACCCTGGTAAAATAAAACAGGAAATAAATAAATACACTACACGGATACATCTTTCATTTTATATTTAATTGTTGTTCAATGCATGAGCAATACAGGAAGATTGTACTGGTCTATCCAGAATCGTAGGAAATTGATAAGGCCAAAATTTTTTAGTTCTGCTACCGATTACATGCCTTTCAAAAATAGGTTAGGTACAAATGTAGGTCGGATTATTATTATTTGTTTTTTTGGCCATTTTTTTTTTTTACTGATTGAATAGGGTATTCAATTCTATGCGAATTTCAGTCTGAACTTTCTCCATTTGCCCTACACACATTGTACAATTGGAGACATACATGTTCACCAAAATCATACACGTACAGGGACATTCAATTTAGGTAACGTGTACATGTACATTGGTCATGTTGTGTACAATCAAGAACCATGTACATTATTGTACATGTACATGTACATGTACATTGTACAATACAAATAAAACGCAGGGCAGTTTCGCATACAACATGTGTATGTACATTTTTGACAATTCAATAGTGTGCATATAATAAAAAGTCATTAAGTGAATTTCAATTTTGATAAAACCTATCAGTTAGTACAATGATTAAGAAAAAAAATATTGTTCATTCAACTTTTTGGCTGTTACCGGTACATGTATGTTATGCGCCGATCATAACATTGTCAGAAGTAAAGTATGTTTCAATGAAATACAGATACATGTACTATTAGTTACCAATGTACTATTAGTTGCTATAATTCGTCGGATCAGTGCGCGACATCGCATGTAGCTGCAATTCAAAACAATTCAAAACATGATTCAGCAACTTTTGATTTGAAATTGAGATCCTAGAATGCTGTTTTTCTGGGAATATACAGCTGAAGCTGAGCTGAAACTTCATCAGTTAGTTGTTCAGTATCCTTCATTAGATTTTGAACACTTTTGTTGCTTCAAACGAACAAAATGCACAAATTACAAATGATGGACTATATCTTTAAAATAAATTCACATTCATTCTTTCCTACTATTTTTTTTTCCAAATCAAAATCTGAGGCACAAGTAAATCATTACTCACTCACCCACCAGAATCTCTTTTGACAATTCCCTGAAAATGAAATACAACCACGCTTTATTCCCTTTACCCGTCATGTGTACAAAGCATGACCTCCTTTAAAACTAGTGACCTCATTCCACAAAATTGAATATCACATAGTTCGTGTCAAATCTGCACAATGACCTGATATGGCAGAACGTGACAGACACACTGACATGTATAATCAGGGTCAAAAGCAGACATTTTCCCCTTGAAATATGCTGAAACCGTGCCCTTGTTTGTAGTAAACAGTCCTACAGGAAATTTGGCTGTTATAAAGTCAATACTGGAAATAGGGCAATTAAACTTAGCCTGGTTTTTACCCGATGTACAGCCGTGGATCTCAGTGTTTGATTAATGGATTTGTTCAAGGCTTTCGTGACGTAGAAAATTAATATCTGCAAACATCGTCCTGGTAGTATGAATTGTTTGCTCATGAATATTATAGGATTCAAAAAAAAAAATATTAGGAGGAAGGTACATGCAACGTACAGCGTTCATCATGGACAATGTACATGTACACATGTTCACACTTGTGGATTACAAATACTTGCTGGTTATGTACTTAAAGGGAAAATACAACATTTGCAAACATCGAAAAATAAAACTACTCAGTTTTTACGAAATACCTTACTAGGATGTTGGTGAATGACAGTCTAAAGCATACTGTAAAATTATGGCACCTGGTGTGAAGTCATTTTCAAGAAAATGGTATTTTTGTATACATTTCCAACGGTGGTCGGCCGACCACCATTGGAAAAACCTTACTATTTTCAACTACTGCTCCAAATTTACAATTTTTTTTCAGTCCAAGTTTTGTTTGCTATTGGTTACATGTTAATGAACGGGTGCAGGCCAGCTAGACTGGTTCCTTTACCTTACAATTTTCCGGCATCAATACATTGGTCCATTTCATCTTTAGTGGAGTCAGGGAAACCAGACTACTTGAACATTTGTGTTTTTCTTGGTTTTTCCAGCATTTTCAAACACAAAACTTCAAACATGTCAGTTTAACAATATTTGATCTATAATGTTAACCCCTCAAATAGTTCATTTCTGAAAATTACAGCAAAAGCCAATGATGTACATTCCCTTTAATGTAAATTTGTGTCTGGTGCTGTACTGCTTCTTTTAATGACTCTTTTTTTGTTCAATTATTAGTACTGACATTAAAATCCTCCTGCTACATGTATCTGAACAGTCACAGAAAAAAATCAATCCCGTTCCCCTGCCATGCCTTTTACACAGGCTAGTCACCCACAGTCAGATCATATTTCACGCAAGCACCGTGACTGGTCAAATTCAGTCAATAGACAAAAGCAGTGGTAGGCACAGCTGGCGTATCAATCACCTACAGTCAAAGCACAGCTGTATCAAGTTACATGCACATTTTGTAAGTTGCCAGTCAATCCTGCTTTATGTAGGCTTGGAATTTTTTAACTGTTGAAAAAGTCACTTGATTGATTTTGACTGAAAGTGAAAGGACAACTTGGCACAGAATGTTTGCATAGAAGGTGGGTCCTTTTCCTTGGCACGTGACGACTTCTTGTCTGTTACTTTTACAAGCCTACATGTACAAAGTACATGTACATGTACAATGTAGCTGTCTTGTAGGTGTACGTACATGTACACGTACGTACGTGTATGTATGTGTACAAACATGCAACTGAAAGTCAAACTTTCATTTTAATACCAGCATTAGGCCTATTATCTGCTTCGCTGCCTACACATTGGCGACATTTACATGTACACTTGAAAGTTAGTATATTAATGGATTT